GTGGGAGGGGTGGGAGAAATACTTTAAAAGCAACATGTCCTCGGCCTCTGCGTTCCTCTCGCCTTATTTGTGGTTCTGTGGTAGTACACTCCATACTTTTCAGAACACCACATGGAATGTCTCAATCTGAGAGGTAGTAACAGACCTGCAAATAGAGCCGAGTTGCATAAGTGCTTAGATAAATTCCCCACATATAAATGGAAAAGAGAGATTGAAGATCTGAACGGTACATCTGTAAATGTTGAGGATAATGTTACAGGGTATAATTTTGAAAGAGTTCTTTGATATGACTGTCAGAAGTACTGAATGCTCTATTGATTTGACCTTTTGGCATTTTTTAAAACTTCCTTTTCAGAATCTCAGGGGGAGGAAGGAACATGGAAAAGTCACTTATTTTCTTGAGATTGGATGGAACTGTTCCAGACAGATGAGACAAGACCTCCCAAGACTGGTTCATATTATCTCTCAGTTTCCAATTGTAATATTTAACAGCACTGACTATCAGGAAGCTTTTCTGTTTCCCCTAGAGAAACCTGAATTTTAATCTCTATGGATTAAAAACAAAACAAAACAAAGCAAAAAACTTTGAAAGTAGAAATTTTACCTTTCCTCAACAAGTGTAGTTATATTCATCAGTTGGTAGAGGGAGAGCAGAATCCTAACCTAAAACCATTCATTGGACCCCAGCAGTCAGATGGACTATTTCCAGGTCTTTGGATATGAAAAATATTAAAAAGTTTTCCTTGTGAGCTTGGGTTTTCAAAGAGGATCCCTTTGGAAAGTTGGCAAATACTTACTTTCCTGGCATGAAGATTGATTGTGTGTGTGTGTGTGTGTGTGTGTGTGTGTGTGTGTGTGTGTTTGTTTCTCTCCCTCCACCCAAAGCTATGACAGGGTGGAGTATACCTCCGTGAAATTGCATGTTTCCAAAATAGGATTCACTGTTGTATTTTTACCACCGTTAGAACTGAATCTCTAATCAAAAATAAGCAAAAACCAAACATTCTAGAAATAGAATTTCAGCTTATATTCTCTAATTTAGTCTTCATAGAGGATAGAATTATTATACTTTACAGAAGCGCCTTTTGAGCAGAAACACTCCCAAACGGTTTCCAAAGTGGTCCAGTTTCATTCTCATTTCTGCGATCACACATCCTAATCTCCACAGTCTTACATGGTAATAGCAGCATATCATTAATGCTGTTCAAATTCTCCCATAGTCTGGATGGCTGCCAGGAAAGAGCTTTGCTTTCTTCAGCTCCTCTGTCTTGTGTCCCAGTACAAGCCTATGTCTAACCTGAACGACCAGGAGCAATCCTGGTGTTCCTTGCTAGTGGATGCGGACACACCGTTGCCTCGAACGGAGTGGCTCTGTTGTAAAACTCCCTCCTGTGTTACAGAAGTGATAGCTGTAGGTGAAGTTGGAATCAGCAAGATAAGAAAACTGTACCTATTGTTTTGCTGGATCCCGTGGATTATATTCCCAGAGGTATCAGCTGATCAAAGGCTCTAGCCATGGCAGATGATGCTAGGGTAACATCTTTTAAAATGCTTTACTCTTTGGTTCTTAAAAATTGAGCCCTTAATAGCACACTAGAGAGAGAACAATGACGTCAGTGGTTCAAGAGCGGATGAGCATCCCCGCGAGGCGGAGATTCTTGTAAACCTCTCCAGGATGTCCCTCAGCATCAAACCAATTTCTGCATATAGGAAGTGCTTAATAAGTGTGAATATCCATGTTTCTCCTGGGCTTGGAGAGCAGAAAATAAGTCAGAACTGCTCAAGATGGGGTGTTTGGCTGGCTCAGTTGGTTAAGTAACAGACTCTTGATTTTGGCTCAGGTGATCTCAGGGTCGTGGGGTGACAGGCTCTCAGCTCAGTGGGGAGTCTGAGGATTCTCTCTCTCTCTCTCTCTCTCTCTCTCCCTCCCCCTCTCCCCCCTCCCCCCTCTGCCCCTCCCCCTTTCTCTAAATTAAATAAATCTTTTAAAAAAAACACTCAAGATGGCAAGGAATGGATGGCATTATAGAAGAGATGCGACGTTGTAAGATTAGGAGGAGTAGGTGAACTTTACTTTTTCCTACCTTGGGAAATTGGGTGTTCTGGTTTGTTTTGTTTTTCTTTTTTGAGAATTCCATTTGTACCTTTCTTCAGTAAACTTAAGATTCCTTCATCCTGAAATTCTGGGGTTTTGTTGTTGTTATTTGGTTGTTTTATTTGGTTTTCATATCCTGTAAAATTTTTCTGAAGAAAGTCCCAACAGGATCCTCTGGTAATAAGATGAAGTAACACTTCCTCATCATTCTTTTCTTCTTCTCCTCCTACTTTCAGAAGTATGGTCTTCAGACTAAGTGGCTCCTCTTCAGTGATCTATCTGCTTTCACAAGGAACTCTTGACACTTAAAAGATCTTTTGCTGACTTTTAGGACTCCCTTGCCTCAGTTTCCACAAGGAGGTGTTCTCCTCTCTAAGAACCGGCTAGGTTAGAAGCATAAAAGATCTTCCATAAAAGGCTCCTGGGCAGTTCCCAGTCTCCTGAAGGGAAAGTGACCTTACAGGAATGAGTGGAGCTTTTACTATTTCCTTGAAAACTGGCCCAGAGGCACAAGACAGGTGACAGTGGAAAACCAAGAACCAGGCTGGGGAACAAGGAAAGAACATGGCAGACGTAGCTGAGGAGGAACCTTGAGGGGAGGGAACACCAACAGGAAACGTGCTGTGCTACATGGAAAGGGAAGTAGGCTTCTGAAGCCCATATTTTCCCTCCTAGTTCAGGTTTTACTGAGCTCTCTCCCAGGTGGTGAACTAGTAGTGTGCATCAGATTATACTTTTAGACATAAATCTGTTATTTAGGTAAGGCTGTAAAAGCTGAGCTTTGCTCGTGATTGACAGGGGGCACAGTCCTTGAAGCAGAGGCGCTAACATAAGCCATTTCTGTTGGAGCGCTTGGAGCTCCAGATAAAACCATGGAACCCGAGAGCCTTGACACTTACCGTGTGCCCAGATTGCTCTCTTTTCCGCCTTGGAATGGGAGAAAAGTAGGCAAACAGTAGGCGCCTCTGTTACGGGAGTGCGTGGGACTACACACTTCTGTAGTGTTAACTCACCTTGGGCTAAACGTTTGCAAACGTTGAGCTGGACTACACCTGAGCTTGGGGACTTTAGTGAACAGGTGAAAAAAGGAAACCAGCAGATAACATGAGGCATATTTTAACTGTAGCGAACCACATTTCTTCAGTCTTCTCTATTTTGATCTACTCTTGGTGTTTCTTTAAATTCATACACAATTATTGCTTCAGAATGTTTTCATTTACTCTCTTCTCTGCTGTGACTAATGAAGAGACAGGTTATGACTTCCGCTTTTCCTTCCACAGCAGATGATCGCCCCAAACTCCCCCCCACCCCCCAGGCAGCGCCTTCAATTTCACAGGGTTTTTGAAAGTATCCTGCCTAGGATTGCCTCCTTATTTGTGCACTTCCGGGAGACAGCAGCCCTGCTCCTTCATTACCAGCAAAAGACTTTTAGCCACGTGATCTTCTGTGTAAGGGCTTCGAATCCATGATGCGCCTCACCAGCTAAGGAGAGAATACTAGGTGAAATGGAGCCGTGTCCGCTGATGTCAGAGCACGGAGTGGGCACAAAGCTTTTCTGCCCATACCAGGGACTTGTCTCTGAAAATCAGCACTGATACTTATTATATACATTGCTTGATTTAATCAATTGATGTGGACAGGAAGTACAATCACTGATTCGGTAGCAGAGCCTGTAAGATGATTATGGCTAATTTTAGGTGAAGGTAGGGTGGGAGTAGAAAGAACATGCTGTTTTTCTATTATATACTAAGTTTTACTAAAACGAATTTTTTAATAACTCTGCATTGGTCCTTCTGATTGGAATACAGATTTTTCCTACCAGAGACTGACGTGGTTGTCTGTACCCCCATCCAGTCGACCCAGGAGGAGAGAGGAAGTAGAGACTCTGTGGAGGAGGTAGAGACCCTGAGTCCTTCCCTCAGATAGGCATTGGATTGCCATGTAATGATGTCCATGATATCAAGGTAGAGACGACAGTAATTAGCTCTCAGTGCTGATTGCCCCTCTCTAAAAGAGTTGAGCTTTGGATCACTCTTGAGCTCCCTGGATTGCCATGTCCCAAGTTTAGAAGAAGTAGAGAGTTATGGTTACCAAGAGCAGAAAGGTTGTTAGCATTTGCCAAGAATTGATGCCAGGATAAGTCTGTTCTAGAGCGGACTGTGTTTTAAGAGTATGGTCAAGGAAAGGAGAGTGCTAGGAAGAAAGGTTTGGGGTGAGGAGATTTCTAAATGTTCAGGTAATTCCCAGAGTCCAGCTTTATTGGCTTCTGAGGACAGCGGTCTGCTCTGAGGCTGGATGTTGCACATGGGCACACACTGTTTACCTGCACTTTGCTGGGTTGAGGATGTACTTTGGGTTGGATTTTTGTGAGTCACAGACCTGTAGGGTGAGCCTCGCTCTGAAAAGCTTTGTCCTAGCCACTAGCAGAAGGCCAAATGATTTGACCTGTTTGTGATCCACCCCACCAAACTGTTGAGTTTAAAAAATGGCGTGTTTCCAGAATTGTTGTAGGAATACACCACTGTTGGATGTTGGTTTGGCAGCCCTGTTGCCATGGGTGTCCAGGTGTGGAAGAGCATTTTCCTTCCCGGTCTCTTGTTATGAAGAACTGGTCCTTATCAACTGTTTCATCCTGCTGACCTACAATGAGATGATTTGATGAGAATGCTCTCAACCTGAGAATGCTCTCAAACTGAGAATGCACGGGATGTGGCACCTGCCACATCAAACAAAGATAAACACAGGCAGAGGGCACTTTCCGTCTTTTATGGAGCTGACCTTTATCGGCATCACCTGTGTGTCCTGCTGGGTACACAGGGTTTTACATCCAGAGACATTGATCTTGTGGGAACATATTCCAAGTATGTGTTTTTAAGGTTATTTGTTCCTCTGTTCCCACGACCAGATATCAGTATTACCTGCAAGTCAAAAAAGACGTGCTTGAAGGACGGTTGCGGTGTACGTTGGAACAGGTGATCCGGCTGGCTGGCTTGGCTGTGCAAGGTAAGGAGCGTGATGGCCGCCATGTGAAATCCCAGTTTTTCTATGACTGCGGTGTTGCTGGCCTCTCAGAGGGAAAAACTGAATTTACTTAGATAATCCCTTAGTAACTCTCACTTTTCATTCCAAGATACATTACAAATGCAGAAATAGAAAAAGTGAAGCAGAAATCGTGATTTTTTTTTTTTTTTTTTGGTGGCAGGCTGGTGGCTTTCCCAAAGCTGTTTGCAAATTGTTCATGCTTGTATAATTTTAGTTTTATTTGAAGAAATAGCAGCTTTCATCCTGCCTTTAATTAAAGCTACATTCAGGGTTTGTGGAACATTTTCTCAGAATTATTCCACTGCCCACTGTGGTCATATTTTGTGGCTTCATGTTATGACTCTTTGACTTTCCCATCACTTTCAAGTGTGATAGCTTTAAACATTGTGGTATAATTTATTCTCACACAGTTACTTCATTTTTTTTTAAAAGATTTTTTTTTTTTTTTAATTTATTGAGAGCGAGAGAATGAGTGGAGGGGAGGGGCAGAGGGAGAGGGAAAAGCAGACTCCCTGCTTGAGCAGGGAGCCAGATGCTAGGCTCAGTCCCAGGACCCTGAGATCATGACCTGAGCCGAAGGCAGACGCTTAACCCACTGAGCCACCTAGGTGCCCCTATTCTCACAGAGTTGAAGAGAGAAATTTAGAATGCACAATTGTAGGGGCGCCGGGGTGGCTCAGTGGGTTAAGCATCTGACTCCTGATCTCAGCTCAGATCTTGATCTCAGGGTCGTGAGTTTGAGCCCTTTGTTGGGCTCCACACTCGGCATGGAGCCTGCTTAAAAAAATGAAAATAAAATAAAATGCACGATTGTAATATGAAGCAACAAACCCATAGTGGAGTATATTTACCTTTCAGTCTGTCCTATTTAGATTTGTTTTAATTTTTCTAAATTGTTACATATATTTTTATTTAACCTATGTTACATGATTTTCACATAGATTTATACATGACTCTTTATTGAGTGGTGGCTTAATTGCTTTTAGTCAGTATCGGAAAGATCAAAATGTGATTTTTTAAAAGAAACACGCGTCTCTTTCAGTCATTCTTTTTCCTTAAAATCAGTTCCTGTCCAAATGGAATGCCAGCCGCCGAGTCCTTGCTGCGTGTGGACTGTTGTTGCAGAAGCTGTGAACTGAACTTGCCATCCCAAGCTCTGAACTGAAGTTGAACCTTTTGGGTTCTGGAATGTCTAAAGAGGCAGCCTTCCTTTGATTCTTTCATCCTGGGCTATTAGCAGTTTAGCAGTTTTTGTTGGACGTATGATTCCTTGTAGTTAGCTGCTATTGTTACCTTATGGATGAAAATACACAAAATATGTTGGATCGTATCCATCCACTTGAAAGACTAGAAGGGGTAGGAACAGTGCCCAGAACGACTAATAGAACAGAAAAATCATCAAAATAACAGAGAAGACACCTTGAATAGGAAAAAGAGAGAGAAGATCCACTCTGTCCCTCATCTGCAGATTGGTCCTTTCTCCTTTGAAAAAGCTTTCTCTTCTGTTCCCCTTATTACTCTCTGTTTATCCCTCTCACTCTTCAACCATGGGGTTTATTACAGATATTCTGGATAGTGGAAGACCCTGACGATAGCGCTCAGGCTGAAGGAAGTTGGTGAAGCCTGGCTTCTCTTTTCCCTGGGTCCTTAAAGCTAGCCGTTCAATCTGAGGGAAGCTCCCCCAGCTATAATATTTGTAAAATAATTTTCTCGAGAACCCTTATTGGGCAGTTAGAAAGACCCAGCCACAGAGTTATAAGTTGTGATAAAATGTGACGACTGGTGAGTAAACTGGAGATTAGGCCGAGCACATGATCTCCGCTATCTTGAATGCCTGCCCTAATTAATCGATCGTTCGTTGTGTGATGACTTAGTAGGTGCGTCCTTGTCGTCTCAGCAACGTCTGTTCACTGGCCTTCTGTGTGGACTCCTGGATTCCATGTCTCCTGTTAGATGCCAGATCTCTTACATGAAATTAAATTTGTATGCTGTTTTGATTTTTTTTTTCTTCTTGAGAGCAAGTGGGGTGAGAAGCAAGACATTGAGGATAAGGACTCACTGTATTTTTTTGCATGTGCTCAGATATACCATCGTGAAATGAAAACAGGACAAAACAGAATTTCTGGCATCTTGCAATATGGGAACTTGTTTGGGAGGTGTAAAAATTTGCAAGGTTGCTTGCCAAGGGTGATTTACAGTGGGAATTTCCAGCTGCAAATATATGAAAAGATGCAGATGGTTTAGGCTCTTCAGTTCTCTTAATTAACCTTGAGTTAAAAAGTCCCCTTGGCAGATATTCTTAAGATATGTGTTGATGCATATTTAACAAAAACATAAGTATAGGTTTGTTTTAAATTTTTAAAATAGCTTAGGGATCACTTTCAAATTTCCGTTTTTTCTTCCCCCTAGAAAATTGTGTAACAGCGCTCACATGCCGATATTCACAGTATTGCTAAGTAAAAGTGGTAACGATATCAAACGCCTTGTGGCACTGTTTTCATTTACTAGTGCAGAAATAGGATGAAGTGGGAATAATAAATGTGGCGGTAATTTTACTTTTATTTTATTCCATCGTTAATATCACATAATAAATACTAACCCTCCCCTCTCTTTTCTTCTCAGCTGATTTTGGAGACTTCCATCAGTTTGATTCTCAAGATTTCCTCAGAGAATATGTGCTGTTTCCTATGGTAAGTGTAATTTCCTTTTTCTTAATTAATTTTCTACCTTCTTTGGATGTTTAGTTCTTACCTTTGAAAATCTCAGAGGATTTTCCATACACGCATTCCCTAGGGAGGCAAGTCCATGCGTTTGTAAAGAAGCGACACATTTTGTAGAAACACTGAAAAAGTAAATGTGCCTCTTTCCACCTCCTCAAGACACTTCCCTGTCCCCTGACACACACACACACCCCGAGTCCCCAGTTCCACTATTCTCCAGAGCCCTGGTGCTCTTCCTGTCTGAACACATCAAGCTTGTTCCTATCCCAGAGCCTTCGTCTTGGCATTCCTCTACCTTCGGTGCTCTGCCCCACATCTTCCTAGGACTTGATTCGAATATCACCTCCTCAGAGAGGCCTTCCTTTCCTTTTTTTTTTTTTTAAAGATGTTATTTATTTATTTGAGAGAGAGAGAATGAGAGATAGAGAGCACGAGAGGGAAGAGGGTCAGAGGGAGAAGCAGACTCCCCGCCGAGCAGGGAGCCCTATGCGGGACTCGATCCTAGGACTCCAGGATCATGACCTGAGCCGAAGGCAGTTGCTCAACCGAGCCACCCAGGCGCCCGAGGCCTTCCTTTTCTTTAACAACCCATATGATAGACTCCAGCCATCAACCGCTTCCTGCTAAATCCCCTTTATGTGCACATACGTCAAAGTTCTTTCGGTATCTAAACGTGATCAGTATTGATTGGTTGTCAGCCAGAATGTCAGCTCTCTGGTCCTTAAGCAGGGACCCTCTCTGTTTTGTCACTGTTGTCTGGCATGTAGTCTGCCTGCATAAAAATTCACTGAATGAGTCAGTGAAGTCAAATGTCCAATCTTGGGTTAAACTAGGAATGAGGCTAGGTTTTAATCCCTGGGGAGGCGGGGGTGGGGGGAGAGAGAGAGAGAGAGAGAGAGTGTGTGTGTGTGTGTGTGTGTGTGTTGGTAGCTTTGGGGTAAATGAGAAGAGTTATGAGGAGGGATTAAAACGTTTGAAAAGCTATACCCGCTCCAACATCCTGGCTCTGATTTTAGAAATCCCAATCATTCACTGCTCTTTTTTTTTTTTTTTTTTTTTAAATCAACTGTTTTGCCCAAAGCACTAACCTGGGTAACTAACTCCCAGGGGATAAAGTTATATAAGAAACGGTGCTTGTTCTCAGGGAGGCAGCAGAGTAGTTGAGTAAATAGGAAGTTTGCAAAATCAGAATGCAAAGCCAAGTGTAATAAAGTGCGGTCAGGATTTTATGTGGGGAGAGGTTACATCTGCTTGGGGGGTTTGGGAAGGTTTAAAGACTAATGGTGTGTGAGTTGCAGCTCAAAGGGTGGGCAGGATTGCAGCAGACAGACAGGTGGGGAGCAAGGAATGATCTAGATGGAGAGAGAAAGGGCGGGGAGTGTTCACGAAAGAGTCGATGGTGAGTCTGACTTCGCTCAGGAGTGGCAGAGGGGTGGCAGCAGATAAGATGAAACATCTCAAGACTGAGAACACCTGGGCTCTGTCAGTGGATTTGCAGACCCCACACTTTGAGGACCACTGGATTAGAGCAATAAGACCATTCGGGAAAGCAGGTCAGATGAGAATCTGCCTGGTGCTCTTGGCAAGGAGATAATTTAGGTGTTATGAGAGACAGTAAAAACAAGAAAGCAATGCAAGAGATATTTTGGAAATAAAATGGGCAGAACTTGGCATCCAGTCGGCCAGTGGTGACAAAGGTTCAAGTTGTGAAAGCCTAGGATAAGTAAAGCCACAGTTATTATTCCCTGTCGGTGTGTTCGATGAACTTAAATGGCTGCAGACTTACCTCATTCTTATTGGTTAGGGAAATACCATAAGATCTCTATGTTTTTCATGAATAACTCTATCCTTATTCTGCTTCCCTCCAAGAAAACAGCAGTATTATCTGATTGGCCTGTTGTTTTTCATGCCTTGTTAATTCTACCCAGCAAATCAACCTGCATTCAAAGAGATTAGCATGTTATATAGCAGAGAAGTTCTTCATAGGATTTGGTGCCAACAGGCTTGAATCAGATGGTCTCGGAGGCTCACCTCAAGCATTGGGAGGTTTCCTGGTGTGCTTGGTGGGGGGAAAGTGAAGCTCATACCTTAGAATTTTAGAAAGAGTGCATTTTTCTGTCAATGGAGGCAATGAATTGGGTTGATAATTTTCCACTTTTCCCCCCGCCCCTTCTCTCCTTAAAGGTCTTAATCACATAGCCTTTAGACAGAGTCCAGGCTTGGGTGCCACTTACAGTTTTTATGGGTTTGTAGATGTTAAAATGCTTTGACAGGTCCAAGTGCTATCTGTGAAGCCTGGAAGGAGTTATTTTGTATGTCATACCTTTTTCAGAATAAGACTGTCTCCTCCCGGCTCTGAGCAAATCAGATGCTTGAACAGCATAGACCTAGTTAAATCTCACTATGGACAGACAAATGTGGATGTGTTATTCTTGGATGTAAAACTTTCCTCTTCAGGGGGTGCCTGGGTGGCTCAGTCGGTTGGGCGGCCAACTCTTGCTTTCGGTTCAGGTCATGATCTTGGAGTCTTAGAATCAAGCCCCACTCAGCAGGGAGTCTGCTTGAGGAGTGTCCCCCTCTCCCTTTGCCCATCTCCCCACTTTCTTGCTCTCTCTCTCAAATAAGTCTTAAAAAATAAAAATACAGCTTCCCTCTTCGGGACAGTAGCTACTTACATTGACAGGTGGCTATTTATATTCAAATTTAAGTTAATTAAAGTTAAAATTAAAAATTCAGTTCCTCAGTTGCATTAGCTACATTTAAAAAATGCTCAGTAGTCACGTGTGGCTAGTGGCTACTGTACTGGAGAGCTCAGACCTAGAACATTTCCCTCATTGCAGAAAGTCCTGTTGGATGGCACTAATGTCAGCTTGTGTATCTGAACCATGAATGTTCGTAGGCTTCTGTCGTGTCATTCCATCCCATGTCACAGCCTGGATACACTGGGGCCTGTGGTCAGGTGGTTCAGGCTCCAGGAGCCAAGCATTCTGTGCCCATGTCCTGGTGGTGCCACTTAACAGCTTTGTGAACTCGGACCATTATTTAATTCCATTTATTTTAAAATTTAATTAATTATTTAACCGAAGTGTCCATTTCTTCATCTAAAAATGGGGATAGCAAGCCTACTCCAGTTGTGGGGGCGAAAGGAGAGGGTGCATGTGACATAACTGGGCACATGGTAAATTCTCAGTAAGTGTTTATTAGTTGTCCTGGTCCCTGCCATCATCATCATCTTATTATTAGCATGACTGTCTCCTCTGTTACGCAAGCCCAAGGATGCCCAAAACCGTGCTTTTCAGGCAACAGTACGACGTGCGTTTTGAAATGTAAGCAGAGGACAGGCAGAAGGTACAAATGATCAATAACCAGCTCTGCATGATTGGAAACTCCAGTTTGATCGTGTGAAACTTACATGTTGCTTATGGAGTTCAGTTCAGTGATCGTTTCTGGATCACTTCCTGTGTATGGAGAGCATATAAGCTGGCATTGTGTAAGAGCCCTGGGGTGGGCCCAGCAGTGATGTGGATGATGAGCTGCTGCCCTGAGGTGCCTATAATGTAGTAGAGGGAGGGTGACAAGGGTACAGGGTGGGATGAGCATCCGGATAACTGTGTAGCAGAGGCCATAGGCGCCCTGCGATGAGGGCTGTAGGAGCCACACCCAGAGCGGAAGTGCATAGGCTTCCGTCCAGCTTGGGGGAATAGGGAAGCCCTATCAAGGGAACAGGAGCTGGGATGGGACCTGAAGGACGGGGTGACATTTCACTCCATGTGGTGGGCCCCGGGGGGTGGGGGGCATTCTTCCAAGAAGGGTCGGCATGAGTGTGTCAGGAGATGTACACACATTCTGTTAGCAAGAGGAGTTTGCCTGAAGCCTTGAACCGTTGAGAGAGGAGGTCTGGAAGGGAAGGCTGGGTCACCCTGAAGAATGGTCTGAATGCCAGGCCCAGGTGTTGACCTAATTGAGCAGGCAGTGGGGAGCCATGGAAGGTTGTAAACTTTCTGCTTGGTTCCACTAGAGCTTTCAAAGAGAAGAATGCATTCCTTTGGTGGGGGAGGGAAGATGGGATGAATGGCCTTGTTTGATCTTATAAAGCACCCGAATTTGTCAAATGGCATTTCTGCAGCAGAGAAAAGAACAAAGTTAAGTACACAGGGCACTCCACAGGTGTGCAGTTGTGTACAGACATGCACTCTGCCAGTCTTCATTCACGCGGGGCCGCTCGCGCATTCTCTGCGGCAGGGACACATACCTCAGGGAGGCCCCAGACGCAGAATTGAGTACAATAGCAGAGGGGCACCTTTGGACTTTTTCTTCTTTAAAAGTAGGAACCTGAGGTTTAATGGAGCACTTTTTGATCCTCACTTCCCTGTCTTTATTTTATTCTATGGCCACATGCCTTTCATTAGCTTTTCAAAATTAGTAGCAGGCTATTACCACCACTCCGTAGCTGGATGCACGCACGTAACTCCATTTCTAAGCCATGCAGTATCTTTGTTGTTCCACAACGTAGAACTGAGCTTATTTCTTACCATGGACTTGAGTCATTTCAGTGGATGGCTAAACAGGAAGCAGCAAATTAATCAGTTAATGCATGAAAAATAAGAGCTGCCAGGAATTCCCTCCACCTTCCCTGAGGTTTCTCATGACCATCTGCAGGGCTATAGAATTTCCAGCGTGTAGTCACACCATCATTTTCCAGCTTTAAAAGATAGTGATTTTGGGGGCGCCTGGGTGGCTCAGTTGGTTAAGCGATTGCCTTCGGCTCAGGTCATGATCCTGGAGTCCCGGGATCGAGTCCCACATCGGGCTCCCTGCTCAGCAGGGGGTCTGCTTCTCCCTCTGACCCTCTTCCCTCTCGTGCTCTCTGTCTCTCATTCTCTCTCTCTCAAATAAATAAACAAAATCTTTAAAAATAAAAAAATAAAGGATACTGATTTTTCATGTTTTCATGATTTTGAGATGGGATGTCTCTTGCAGCTTTGAGGTAGGTACTTTTTGGGGGTAGTGTTTCATCCATGGAAAATTGTTAAATTGGAAGTCATCTCTATATAAGTGGTATTTTAGAATCAAGGTAGTGCAGCATTTGGGATGTTTTCTGCCCAACTTCAGCCCCCAGCCCCCCACCCCCAATGTCTACGATGAGCCTCAGAGGGCCTCACGGGGACACATATCTCAGAGCCCCTTCTGACACCCCCTCTGGAGCTCAGAGGGAAATGGTGCATGTCTATGTTCTCCTCAGTGCTTAGCAGCCTGGGGCAGGAGGCGTGAAAGCTGGGAGGGTCTGAGGCAGCTGGCCCTTGGCTTGAGCCTCCCCAGGCTTACCAGAGATGTAAGGAGCTCTAGAATCACCAGGTCTGTCAGGCTCTCAGGAGCTGGTTGCTCTGGCCTCCATGTCTTGGATTTATTCTTTCAGATCATTTCTCCATCCCAGACAGTGCTGTCAGCATTTGTCACAAATATTTAACAATCTCTGATACACTCCCACTGTCATGGAAGGGGTGTTGGGAAGAAGTGTGTGCGGTTGGCTCTCATCCCTTGGGAGCCAGCACACCAGTGGTCCCAGGGGCCTGGGAGTCAGGTGGTTGAGACACCAGCTGGTCAGCTACACACTGTGACTTTATAGAACTCCCTAGTTTTAGCCAGCATGGACTCTTATGCTCCCAAGGCCATGTCAAGTAACATCTGAATGAGCCTTCTCTGCCTTCAGGTAGCTCTGAATTAGTTCATATTATGGTGGTGGACAAAAAAGGCCAGGCACAGTCCCTTTCTAGGCTCAGCTTTTGAAAGGATAATGGGCTGGAAGTTCATTTGCCTGTACCCTGATTGTTAAAAACATGAAGTACGGGGTGCCTGGGTGGCTTAGTTGACTGAGAGTCTGACTCTTGATTTCAGTTCAGGTCATGATCTCGGGGTCCTGGGATCGAGCCCCATGCTCAGCGGGCAGTCTGCTTGAGATTCTCTCTCTCCCTCTGCCCCTCCCCCAGCTCGTGCTCTCTCCCTCCCTCCCTCTCTCTCAAATAGAATAAATCTTAAAAAAAAAAGCCACGTAAGTACAAGCAATTTCAATTAAAAGTAAATCTGAGAGGCAGATGGGGAAAGTGAATGAAAAAAGTGCTATTCCCAGATCCTGCAGAATGTAGGCAGCGACCGAAACTATGCCTTGAAATAGTTATAAGCTTATAAATAGTTATAAGCCGAGAGCCTAAGTTATCGTGGAGTGCCGTGTTATGGAAGTAACAGTGGACCCTCAGTCCTACAATGGACAGCCTTTGATTTGAAGGAGTATGGGGGAGATTGATGAATGGAGGCTCCTCAGGAACGTCTTCTGGAAAAGAGAGCTCTTAAGGTTTACAAGCAAAACAGTAAATGGCCCTAACTGCTTTTGTGTGGATAGGATTTGGCCCTGGAAGAGGCCATTCTGGAGGAGCTGACACAGAAGGTGGCCCAGGAACACAAAGCGCACAGGTAAGGCCGGACTAGATGCTGGCTCCCAGCCCCAGCCCCAGCCCCAGCCCCTGGCTGAGTCAACCGCCTGTGTGTCTTCTAGCCCGAGGGTGGATCTGAAAACTCTGCTGCTTGCCCGCCCGCCCCTTTGTGCTCTTCTCTTTTTATTTCCTCTCCCTTCCTTTTTTCCTTTTCTGCTTTACCACCAGCAAGCCCATGCAGACGTGGAGAATTCGTCTCTCAGACCTTCCTTTTAAAGCTTTGTTGCCAGAGCAGGGGAGCCTGGGGCCGCTTGAGCTGAGCGTGCAGACTGAAGAGGGACTTTGGGTGGTAAAGTCAAGGTCAAGAGGGAGAGGATCAAGACTCAGGGAGGCATTGAGAGCTTGCTGTCAGGGCTGTGCAGAGTTCTGGGACCAGTGGAGAACAAACAACCTTCCTTCAGACCTCAGAGGACCTATGCAGTGGTCCCAGGCTCTCTCATCTTGGCCACTTAGCTCCCAAAATAGCATCCTCATAAACTTTTTCCTTTACCCCCTCTTTTTTTTCCTCTTAACAGTGGAGATTTTTTTTCCCCAGGTGGGAGAAAAATAACTTTTTTTTTTTTTTAAAGCAGGCAGCATTATTCACGGGGATGTCTGGAATAATTAGTGTTTATAGGGCTGTGGCTCTTAATTAAACACTTTACCTTCCTCTGATTATTCCCCATTGAGTAAAGGCCAGTGGGGAATATGTTAATGAATTACTTAGTAATGCACCATGTCCTCACAATTGGGTGATGATTGCTCTTCCCAGAACCAGAGGTAAACCACAGCTCTGGAATTTGCCATCAGGAGGGTAGGACCTTCCACTACCTTCGTTGCCCTTAACCATTTCCTTCTTTGATGCTGTTGTGATTTTAGTGGAATCCTGCCAGCAGAAGCTGAGCTCATGTACATCAACGAAGTGGAACGTTTGGATGGATTTGGACAGGAGATCTTCTCTGTGAAGGTAGCAGACCCTGGCCCGTTCTTCAGCTTTCTCACAATGGCTCAGGCAATCAGAAAGCCAGTGATGATAGGCAGCAGGCCCGAACGACCTGGCTTTCTTATCGCTATGTGGCATTAGTTGGCAAGTCCAGTTTACTTTAGGAAGCCAACAGTTTTTCTTTTTTTTTAAGATTTTATTTATTTATTTGTCAGAGAGAGCACAAGCAGGGGGAGTGGCAGGCAGAGGGAGAAGCCAACTCCCTGCTGAGCAAGGAGCCTGATGTGGGACTCGATCCCAGGACCCTGGGATCATGACCTGAGCCGAAGGCAGACGCTCAACCAACTGAGACACCCAGGCGTCCCACAAACCCTTTTTCTTAACTGAGAGATTTTGAAAGTTTTCCATGGTCTCGAGCAGAGTATCTTGTTGGTAAGACAACCATCTGAGTGAGTCCCAAATACCAGCCCATCCAGCACCGCGAAGGTATCCAGTCACCTGAAGTTTTGCAATAAGACAAGCAGCTAATGTCATGTGTGCATTAATATAAAGACCCTGACCACCGGTTTTACCTGCTTATTCTCTTTTCTCTCCTTTGAGCTGATACGAGGATAATTGCTTGTGAGGCAGCGTGAAACATTTCCTGTATGCAATCACGCTATTTCTTGAGCTCCATAGAGCCTGCATTGCGGATTTCCAGCCCCTTTGGAGTTTTCTGGAAACTGCGCCTAGGAAACTGTTACAGCACAGCACATCTTTTGCAACAGATCCACCTCCTGAAGTGGGTGTGGTTGGGGGCGGGGGTCATGGTGCATGGTCATTTATAGAGCTGAGCCCATAATTCAAACTCATTTTCTTCTCTCTCCTGACCAACTTTACAAAAGACAGAGTTTGCTCGGAAACCTAGAGCAACTGGCACATTTCCGCGATCTGGGAGATGGAGCAATTTTAGCACAAACATTTCACTCTGAAGTGGCTCTGCTGGCTGTTTTATAAGTGTTCCGTTCCCCCTCGGCTGCATGTTTGCAATTTGCCTTGATGAGAACTGCCCATGTGCATCAAGTAGAACGAGCAGGGTGACCGAAGCTTGCCGAAAGGGCTAAATGGCTCTTTTTAAAATTTGTTTAATTTTCTTTTGCTTCTCTAATGGCTGCCCTTCGTAGGGCTGTAATCCATTTTCCTTGCAGTAATGCCTTATGAAGCCATCTGCATCCCACTTACAGTTCAGCAGCCCATACATAGTCATGATATTTTGGGTCATTGAAAAATCAGGGTAAACTTTTCTTCCCTTCCAGAAAACCCACTTCTCTGTCCCAGGAAGTTGGGGGTTTAGTTGTCCTGCTCATTTACTTCTGCTGTTTTTAGGAGTTCTGGGCTGTGGGAAATTGGGGCAGTGGAAATAGTGTCGAAATCCACTGTGCTTGTCTCTGATGCACTTTCTGGTATGTTCTTTAGTGGAAAGAGCACAAGGGGGATACAGTACCTTGGTCTGAGTGGGTGGACAGGCACAGCTGACTCACGGCCAGGGAGTGTGACTTAGCTGGGTGGCATCTTTTTGCCCACATATCTGTTCGTGACTCAGGTGACCACCTCCAGACCACGTGATTCCCAGAGACCCGAGGAAGATGGGAGGGGCAGCAGTACCAGCTGGGGCAGTGCTGTGGTCAGCTCTGAGATCCGTGCTAACACAGACAGGAGAGGGTTCAGGGGCAGACTGAGGAGTGATGGAGTCCCTTTGGGTTAGTACCGGTCCTTGTTGACCAAGTAAAGCAAACGAGCTTGTTGTGGCTACGTTGTAGGGAAGAACATTTCCACGTAGTGTGGGCTTTTCCATGAGTGGTTCTTCAAATTTTTTCAAGGTGGGAGGAGGACCAGTCCACTCCCTGACAGGCCTGCCCCCCCCCCCCCCCCCCAGTCACTCCCGTGTTGTGAGAGCGCATGGACACAGAGAGGCTGCTGGTATCTGGAGCCTCCATCCTTAGCTGAGTTGGACACTGAGCCTTTAAGTTCTGACCGATGCAGTGCCCGGGCATCCGTCCTGTGTTTTTGCCATTGCCCAGCCCTGGGGAACTGCTCCTCCTGCAGCCCCATCACCAGCAGACTGCTGCACCCATCCATCTAACGGCAAAGTGCCCCGGGAAGGATTTCCACAGAATTTTCTCTCCCCTTCCCATGTCCTGGCTTCGCCTGGCTTCTTTCCCCACATATGTTTTTCTACAGTATGATTTACCTTGTAACTTCTCCTGATTTCCAAAGCACTTCTTTTCCTTCCCATGGCTTCCTCTCCTGACCCTCTCTATGCTTTGCCTCCAGCAGTGGTCTGGCCCTCTGTGTGTCCCTATTCGACGAGCCCTGTCCTAATGTGTGCTTTGCTGGGTGGGTTGAGAAGAGGTCCCTGCAAAGGGACACTGTCGTCATTGTGTCTTCATGGGATCAGGTGTTTCGAGGAATATAGAGATCCTTCTTTTCCATCTTGTGCCCAGTTGTGCGTGCCCCTCTGCTCACTCCACAAAGAGGATGTCCCCAGTAAAAGCAGGGGGCTGAGGGACAATTAACTCCCTGGATGGTGAGCCTTGTCCCCGCTCCACTCTCAGGCACACTGGCAGCAGGTTATGCTCTCCTAGGCAGGAGGTTGGAAGTACCTGACTGGACCAGGAGACCAGACTGAAGATGAGTCATCTGGACTTCCTCAGCACAGGGCCCAGCAGACTGCCCCCAAGCTCTGCTGTGCTCATGCCCATCCTGTGCTCATGAAGCTCCCAGCCGGTGCTTAGCATCCCAGACTGGAACGTGAATAGAGGGCCAAGCATCACCCTGCAGGCTGCCCTCCCGGGAATGACAGAGGCCAATGCAAAGGGAGTGAAGCAGCCTGGAAGATGCAGAGACTCTATAGGGTGAAGAACCCCCTGCCTGAAATACTGTCCTCGGAGTCTCCAAGATCAAAATATATTACCTCCTTAAAGGAATAGATTGCTTTTAAAAAGAAACACTCAGGGGTGCCTGGGTGGCTCACCCGGTTAAGCATCTGCCTTTAGCTTAGGTCATGATCGCAGGGGCCTGAGATCAAGCCCTGCATTGGGCTCCCTGCTCCGCGGGGAGCCTGCTTCTCCCTTTCCCTCTGCCCCTCCCCCTCCTGCTTGTGCTCCCTTGCTCGCTCTCTGTCAAATAAATAAAATCTTTACAAAAAAAGAACATTCAGAGAAGAAAGAAGAAAAAAGATAAAACTCTCAGAAATTAAAAATATATCAAAAATAGAAAAAGTAATAGGTTACAAGAAAAATTTAAGAAAATCTCACCAAAAGATGAAGGTATGGAGTAATGTGGGAGGTGGGAGATAAGATTAGAAGGCCAGCCCAGGATGTCCAACATCTGAATAATGGGAGTTCCAGAAGAAGTGAACAGAGGCAGTTTGAGAAAGGATCCCAGGACTGAGGACCGTGAGGTTGTAAATCAAAAGACCAAACACAGCGGATGCAAATAGACACTCACGAGGGCATTAAGTAGTGGAAGTCGGTGCCTCTGGGGAGAGGAAATGGTGGGGCCAGGTCTGCTGTTGGCTTCTTTTAAACAGGCTCCAAAGGATGCACTCAGTCCTGCAAACTGTGGGCACATATAATCACACGCTTATGACATGCATACATAAACTATGGACATGTACAATTTTGATTTAAAAAAACCAGAATGAAAAAGATATTCATTGATGTCCATGAAAGAGAAAACCATAACAAATCCGAGAAAATCCTAAAATTCTCTCTGGGACACGAAATGTGAAATTGGGATAAAAGAAAACAATATGTATCTATGTATATGGTCTGCTGGGGTGTGCAGCGGGGTCTGTCCCTTCAGGGCCGAGTTGCCCATTGCCCTGATGCTGTCTGTGGTTCATTCGTCCATGGGCGGGAAACGGGGTGTGTACCCCCCGCCCCCACCCCCGGGTAGGCTGTAGCCCGGGTGCTTGGCTCTGCCGGTCTGGCTGGTCATCTGGTCACATCGCTCTTCTGTTGATCTTATGCAGGACAATCATGGAAACAGTGTGCACCTGGGCATTTTCTTTATGGGGATATTCGTGAGAAACAGAATTGGAAGACAAGCAGTAATATACAGGTAGTCTTACTCGTCTCTTTTTCCTTTTTCCCCTGAGGGACTCTAGAAAAGCCCACTGAGGATGACAGTGATCCCAATGAGTTAAGAGCCAGACTGTGGGTCAGAGTTGAGCTTTTCTCAACTTAGATAAGATCAGCCCTCTGTGAGATTTGAGCAGTTAGGGAGAAATGCATCTCATTTTTCCTGGAGGCCTGTTTTGGGGGTGAGGGATAGAGGAGGTTTTTTTTCCCCACTTGACTGCAGGAAAGGTGCTACTGAACCCTGCTGAGCCAGAAGAGTGGCGCTAAACTCTGTGAGTCTGCTTTGGAAGCGGGTTGTCCAGTCAGTCCCGCTGGTTGCCTTTGCCCATGTTATCCATGACCAGCCATTAAATCCAGACTGGCTTCTTCCCATTTTCCATCACCCTCTGCCTAACCGCACATGCTAGAGGAGTGTGGACTAATTTCTGTATTAAATATATGACATTTTATATTTGTGAAAATGCATTTTAAAAGCAGTGAATTTGTTATCACAAATTAAAGGGCTGGTACTTTTATATCATTTTGCATTTTATTTTTTTCGTTCATTCATTTATTTAGGGGAAGGGATAATTGGGTGATTGTCATTATTTTGCATTTTAAATCCTCTTCTCCACTGAACATGAGAGAGAACAAGTATGGGGATTTGGCAGAGTGTCTCTTCCATTACATGTCCATGAGCTTGCTTGCGTTGGTGCCCACAGTTGTCACCATGGTGTGCACGATCTCAAAAACTGCATGCTTGCTTTCATTTACAAGGGCAGTATGGCCGACTCTTTATTAGAAGAACAGCTTTCCTGCATGTGCATCTGATAGGCAGAGCTTTGCACCTTGTGCAGATAATCAAAGACAGTTCTTAGAGCCAAAGCCAAGTCCACCTTCTGGAAGCAGATCTTGCCCAGCTGTGTACTATCTGGATCAGCGGTTGATGCAGGTCATTTTGCGAATGTTTCCCCACCAAAAGCTTCCTAATTGGCTCTTTTCCCTGCTAGGTCTCCACCCTGCCATTATTTTTGTCCACTGATTTTTCTCTTACTCTTTGAATGGAGACATTATTAAAGGAGTGGGGAGAGAGATATTTGTGGCTGCAGAATAAACTTTTTTACTTTTGGACATACTCCTTCAACTCCATATACCTACAACAAATTATCAAGTAATCAAATAAAACACATAAATTGTGCAGAGTTGTAACTATACCTTTTTATGCCCACTTAAAGCTGTCCAGGCATTTTGTCCCACACAGTTCCCCGTAGCTAAATCAATGCTTCATTTTCTCCTTGAGGTTAGAAAAGTAGATGACTCTTGTGTTCCAGCTATGGAGGTTAAATAGAAGAAAATAGCCATTTGAAACTGCTGATGATTAGCCACTCATGGTTTGGTTCAGTTCCTTAGGAACGGCTTCCAGACCTCTTCAGCACTTATCTTGAAACTCCTACAGGATGGGAATTTACTTCTGCCATACTATCATGGTAAGAATGTCCCTAGGTGGAGTCGCGTTGTGGAGTGAGGACTGGATTCAGAGTTTTGGCAGTTGATTTGAAGGAATGGAGCCTGAGGAAACCAAATATCTCTTATCTCTAGAGACCTTCAGTGAGGAATATGTGGCTATGGGTCCGTGTAGATGTAATCTCACGGAATTATAAGTCAGCAGACAGCTGTGCTGAGCGCCTGTAGAGAGTATGGCCCCAGCAGATGTCTGTGAACACAGTTGGTATTGGAGTAATGGAAGGATGACTGGAGGAAAGCCTGGAAGCCCCAAGTATAGAACTCCTGCATCCCCAGTGTGCAGAGTGAACATGGCTAAAGTCCTGTTCTCATTTGTGCTGAAATCGTCTCCTCTCTAAAGTAGGAACAAAAATAGCTGCCTTGTCTACCTTAGAGAGTTCACAAAGAAACCATACTCTCTACAGATGGGAGGCAAAGTTATGACTCTCAATTCTTTCAGCAAACATTGCCTGCCGCATGCCAGGTACTTGGCTCAGTGCGTGGAGGACAGAGACGAAGAAAGCAGAATCTCTAGGCACGGGGCCTGTGTTCTCCTCTGCCTCAGTTAGGGATCTAGTCACAGAAGTAAACAATTGTCATACTATGCGGGGCCCCAGAGAGGACTACACCAGATTCTTTCCTGCCATGTGGGTGGTTGGGGTTGAGGAAGAGAGAGAAGGCGACTTCTGAGCTGAGTCTTAAAGGAGGAGGATAGGGAAGTATAATGTTGGCATGAAGAGGCAGTGGGCAGGGAATGATAGACTGGGGCACAGAGTGAAGGTGGGCAGTAGTAAGAGATGGTTAAAGACTGGCTCCAAGTAGGATGGGAAATAGTAGCTTACCTTCCCTTGTCTGGTAGTTATTTCCTGTGTCTCATTTTAGCTAAGGTCTTCATGAGGAAAGGGAAGCAAATGTGTGTGTGTGTGTGTGTGTGTGTGTGTGTGTGTGTGTGTGTGTTCAATCACAAAAATGTAGGCACATTAAACATTCCTTGGGCACTTTCTCTTGGTGGCATCATCCATCCATAGCATACACTGCAACACAAACTGTGTGGCTTCTTTGGCCTAGATTCCTGGAAACACATTAAAATAATATGCTCCTCCATCATTAAAAGCAGGGATCATGGGAAATGCTTTGCAGTTTGGAAATGTGAAAAGCAAGGCAGAGGATCCTTGAATGTTTTCCTCATTGCTAATCCTAAAGGAAATAGTACCTTATGAACAGCAGTATCTAGATGTGGGTTTTACAGAATTTTTAGGTATTTAAGTTGACGTGTGTTGTGTTTTACTTTTTTGCTTGGAGAGAAGGACTATTTAGCTTTCAAAACTATAGTTAAATCATAATTTGTCGAATGAGACTCACCAGTAGCAGATGACCCTCCTACGCTGATTCATAACTGCATGGGACATTGTTGGCAAACCCAGTTGCCTACCTTTTGACCAGGTGGAATGATATCGGGAATATCGCTCACAACAAGTCTACTATTCTGGTGGAGCTCATCAACAAAGAAGAGACTGCCCTCTTTCACACGGTAAGCAAAATGGAAGGACAGGGGCAGGGTCCCACAGGCAGGTGGCTGTTTGATTTCTCACCTCACAATATCCTTTCCGTGCTGTCCATATTGTGAGAGAGTAAGTATTCTCTTGAACTGTTAACTGCCCAGCCCTCGCCCAGTGCTATCATTACTCATTTCCGGGTAGTGGTGGTAATTTCCTGTTCAAAACACCAGGTTTCCAAGCTGAGTTTGGACTCTGGGATTTGGGTTCCTCCACCTGCTGTGTTTGTGGTGGATCACATGTCTGGCATGCCACGTTCCTCAGCGCTCAAGTTACAGCCCGCATTCAGTAACCCCTCGATGATAATGCCTGGCATTTTCTTTAGCTGGCTGACCTGGATTTCCTTCCCCACCACAGCCCAAGCCTGGCCCGAAGTAAAGGGAGTGCTTGCCCTTCTGTTGAGCGCCCCCTTGAGGGCCAGGGCTGTTCATGCACCTCACTGCCATTTCAGTGGTGCTCAGTGTTCATTACAGGCTCTGTCTTCATTCATTTCTTTCTTTTTAAAGCAGTTGGTTTGGAAACTGTGTGAAGACATGCTGGCTCATCAGTGTAAGCCCTGTGCCTTGAGCCTAGAGGATTCTTTAACTGACGGACTGTCTGCATCCTTGGGTGGGCTTCCTAGCCACGCTCGCCTAGGGTTTCGGCACATGGATTTGCGGCTCAGGGTGCTGTTTTGTGCTTGGCCTGATGGGAGGAAGGGATGTGGCCCCGTTCAGGAGAATCCTAGGGAAATGCATTTACAACCAAACCGATGTTTATTTTTTTTCCCTCTCTCTTCTTTTCCAAGGACGATATTGAAAATGCCAAGTACATTTCTCGGTTGTTTGCTACACGGCACAAGTTTTACAAACAAAACAAAATCTGCACTGAGTAAGTAACCAAGTAGTCCACCCCCCTCACCTGGTGGCTTGCTCCCGTTCAATTCGTGTGCTTTAGGGATGTCGTGGATCGCTTAGATTGCATTTTCCATTTGCCCTCTTCCCTTCTTCCTCGCGGAAGCTAAAGGAATAAGCTGAATGCAGGCAGGAGTGAAAGAACTTTAATGATGAAGTGTCTGGCATAGTGCATATGCCTGGAGAGAAAAATAATTCAGAAATTGACTGTGAGTGCTTGACTACCTGGATGGGTTGGCCCACATTAGTGCCTTTCCGTCCTCTGCTAGGAGTTTGGAGGAGCCGAGCCATTCCCAATTTGCCAGGGTGCCCCTTCGTGTCAGATGCAGAGTAGGTTCAGAAGTGTGTAACAGAGTGGCAAGCCAACTTGAAAGAAAAGAAGCCTCTGTCATCCTCAGCCCTGTTTCTCTTACACAGTTGGCTAACCCTGCGTGTGCCTCTGGGTCATGTCATCTGCCTGTAAATGAGAGGCCAGGGTAATTACAGGAAGCCTTGGAAGACACTAATAGATGTCATGAGTCCATGTGTGTTTTTTAAATCTAATTTGGAAATAAAGATGATAAAGGGAGTCTGATACGGGAACTTAAATGTGACCTGACCTTGGATGTGGCGTCGCTGGGCCTCACGCTATCATTGCCTTTATTTTGGTTGCCTTCAAAAGACGGTCCTCAGCAGAGAACATTCGGCAGTTGGCGCGCCCAAGGTGCTTAATTGTGTTTCAAAGAATTCGGGGATATAAATGCAAGAGAGGAACTGCTTTTCCGTTCCCCCAGTGGACACATCCAAGAGCGTGAGAGCATTGTCCCAGAGCTGTTCCTGCTGAAAACAGCGGCCGCTTTAGAACGGGAGCCTCACGTCCTGACAGACTTTCTTCTCTACACGATGGAGGCTCTTTCAAGCCAGTCATTGCAACTGGTCACTGTTGGAGTCTGAAAGGCGAGGCCACAGTAGCAGGGCTGCCAGCAAAGTTTGCAAATGTAAATTCAGAGGGGCAGTGACCGGGGAATGGCAAATCAAACAGCTGTAACGATGGCCGTGCGCGCATGCGCACACGCACACACGCGTGCGCACGTGCCCTTCTTTTGAACAGGTTCCCTTACAGATCACTTCTGTGCGTGCGGGTCTGCTCTGCTGTTGCCTTGCATTTGTGGGGGTGTCTTGGACGTGAACGGGAAATCCGTGGTTGACTTCTGGAGGGGGAATTAAAACTTCTGAGAAGTGAATTTTACTGTGGTCTTGTTTGACCATTTCTCAGCAAGTGGATTTATCATGAAATTTTCTGGGTATTTTTATCTTGTGGTCTTCTAATATTAGTGAACAGCCTATGTGAGAGTGAAAACTAAAGGAAATTGTGTTTTCTTTTCTACTCCTGTGATAACTGTTCTTCTGTTCCTAACCAGTGTGAGAGGTTCCTAACCTCTTATCTGATAAGAACCAGAACTCTCTAATATTTATACACACATACCCCATATACACAATAAATTCAGAATCTCAGTGCAGGCTGCATTAAGGCCTAGGATAACCCCGTGGAGTTTTATGGAATCTAACATCATCTTAACAGCATCCTCCTCTAGAGGTCCGCATCCTGACCTCTAAAAGACTGTCATTGATTTTTATTTTTATTTTTATTTTTTTGCTCACAGAGCTGCTGCTTGTTTTCTTCCCATATAGCTCCAGGGGGTGCTTCCCATATTTCTTGACTTGAGAAGAAAAATTGCAGGTCTTATAATAACATTATAAAATCCATAATCTAGGTCTTATTGTATTTGGCCAGTTGTTAAAAAACATCCAACATTACTATACTGTTTCCATCACTTCATAAAAGAAAAGATGTAAAAGAGTAGGAAAGATGAACTATCAGACTAAGGAGAGTGCTTTAAATTGAAGAATTATAGCTTTATGGAAAACTCTACATGTCCTTTTTGTTTCTGTTTTTGTCTTTTTATGATTTCACTGAGGACTAGAGAAAGTGTTGCTCTGGAATTTGGGACCCGTTTCTCAAAGGCACTTTTGATTTCAGTGCCCCAGAATTTGATAATACTCTTAGTCCCCACACATTTTTATCTCTACATTTAAAAAAAAAAAAAATTCACGTTCATTCTCAGTCTGGAAAGGATCTGATTAGATAAATATTTGTAGTTGGTGTTGTCTTAATTCAAAAAGACCGTTATATGATCTTACTCAAACATATTTAATCTATTTTGGATTTCATTTGACTGGCAGCATTTTAAAAAATATTTTTTCTACTTGCTGTTTTTCATGATGAAAGATTTTAGACATTCACAAAGATACAAAGAATACAATTTTTAAAAATCCATGTAATAATAGTGATATTTTTCAGTCTTGCTTATTTCTCTCATAATCTTTCTTTGGAAATAAGCCTTATTCTTCTGTAAAACTTATTATCTAAGGGTCATATGCTCCAAACATTTTGAAAATAAAATAATAAAAAAGGAAATTAAAATTTTTCATAGCCTCATCATTCAGAAATAAATGTTTACATTTTTATGTAAACTACTTACCCATCTTGTCTTTTTTACCCTCTCTTGTCTGTTTGGTTGTCTTATGTCTTATAATGACCATTCTCATTTTTTAACTTTTCACACAGACAATCAAATTCTCCACCCCCCATCAGACGCCAACCCACCTGGAGCCGATCCTCTCTGGTATGTATAAAGTCTTCAATAATCAAGTGGTCTGACTGTTGGGGATGGAGTGTCCTTTTGTTGCTAATTTGAGAGGGGACATGCCTAGGGCATCATGACCAGGTGAGATCTGATGAGAAAACAGAAGAGCATCAGTTTGCCAAGCAGGTGTGATGAACATCCATGTCCCATTCATGTCCCATCACGTGGGACATCCGTGTACCCATCCACGGCCATCACTTCTTGAGATGTGACTCAAGGTTCACCCCTTAAGAGTAAGTCTCAGGGCCGATGAGACCATGTTTCTTCAGTGTGCAACCTATTGTGTGTGTTTTTGTCCACTTGCTCATCTTTGGTTTTATCACTCACTGTTCCTGGTTGTTACATACAGACATGTCTTCAGTTTCAAGCTCCACGAATTCTTTAGTATTCACTGCCCATAGATAGATCTTAATAAACTAGATAGAAAGTGCTTTCTAGGGGAGCCTGGGTGGCTTAGTTGGTTAAGCATCCAACTCCTGATTTGAGCGCAGGTCATGATCTCACGGTTGTGAGATCGAGCCCCACATCGGGTTCTGTGCTGGGTGTGGAACCTGCTTAAGATTCTTTCTCTCCCTCTCCCCCTTTCCCTCTCTTAAAAAAAAAAAAAAGAAAGAAAAGGAAACAGAAAGAAAATGCTTTTTAAATGAACCCCAATTGAATGAGTTTACTGTTGATGGTCTCAGGTAGGGTATTTGGTAGAGAAAATTAATTACACATCTTCTAATTTTAAGGTCAACAAAATTGATCTACTGAATTGATCTACTTTTCTATCTAACATTAGTTTTTTTTAAAAAGCTCCTTCTGAGTAAGGAAACACAATTTCAGTATATATGTTCTGTCTTAGGCTGTGTTTTATTTTGAGGATGACTTAAGGATAATATTGTAGAAAGATCCAGGAGAGTTGGCTTCCTTTAAAGTATCTACTTGTTTTAAGTCATAATTCTTATGTCTTAGGTTGTGATGTCTGACACAAAATCAAAATAAACATTGTGACCTTTAAAATTTTTTAGGTGAGCATTCGAGATAAGAGAATGAAATTGAATTTTTCCTCATACATAATGTATACCCTATAGCACATCTTTAACTTGTCTTTTAAAAGGAAAGTTTTGAGGATTTTTTTTTTTACTGGGAAATGCATAGACAATGAACTCCTAGAATTCTAGAGTTGCACCATTATGTCATCACATTCCTGAGTCCCCACATGAATATTATTAATCTTGCTATCATGCACAGTATCTCACAAGTAGCCCTCGCCTTGGAGATCTAGAGGGTCACTTTGGGCTTTTCCCTTGTGGCATTAATAGATTTGTTCACGGCACTGGCTTCTTTATGTTTCTCCTTTGTGAGTATTATTTTTATTTTTCTTTAGAGTCCACATGTCATTAGGGAGATAGTTTTTCACTTAAGTCCGTGAAACACCGTGAGGACAAAGTATTGTAATGCTGTCTTGTGATTGGATCTCATCTTATCTAGAGAAGATAAAGAGGCTTTAGACAGTCTTTAGGAAGCCAAATTCAAGGCTTCTCTCTTTCCTACACCCTTTAGGCTTAAACCATTTCACCAGGAGTTCCCTGGGATGAGTGGATGAGTGACGTGGTCTCTTTTTGGCTTCCTTGCTCTGATAACCAGGACTGCTTTTTTTTTTTTTTTTCCCTTGCCCTTCTGCTGCCTATGTTTTGGCATCTCACTTGTTTCTGTATTAGCAGGTCTGGAAAGAAAGAGAATAATATGCATTATATATATGTAATATATATATATATAAAATATGGAATAAATAATATCCTGAAATGGTATTTGGAGGATTCACTATTTTGTGTTTTGCTGTACACTATGCCAGTTCATAAACAGTCACTTATTGGATTTTTTTTTTTTTTTTTTAAATAAGTGAGAGAAGGCAGCGAGCTAACTGTGCCTTGCCGTGTGTTCCTGTTATCTCCTCTGAGTCCCTCCCCGCTGTTTTTGTTTTGTTTGTTTGTTTCAAGCCTCAAAACTGGCTGTCCCACTCTGGAAAAACTGAGTTGAATTATGTATTACCATGAAGAGGAAAAATATTTTAAAATTGTAATTCAAACACCAGCCAAAGGGAGATTTGGGAATATTTAGAAAAGCCGATACCGATACGGCCCCTTTTCTTTGTTACCATGAACTAATTTCTTAGATTAATTTCAGTTCTTTATTTCTTCTGTCTTGACTCTTTTTAATTTGGGATCCCTTGTCTTCATCACCTTCTTTATTTGCCCTTCTGATACTTAAGCATTATTTGTGGCAGAGGAAATGGTAGATGAGTTACTTACCCAGCTTCAAATTCTGGAGAGTGCTCTTTTACTGAGGGATTCTGAGAAAGTGTGACCCCTGCTGGCTTCACGTTTTTTGGCTTGATCTCAACTTCTTTCCTAGAGCAGTAACATTTAAACCAATCTCTATAAGGCTAATTTTAAAATAATCAAAAAGAAATATAAGATATCCTGTTTGGTGGTTTACAAGCTTAAAGTTTTTAAAAGATTTTTTTTTTTTTTTTTAGTCTCAAAGCTTTTTCTTCAAATTCGCATCTGGAACCCCAATATATAAATAAAATGGATATTGTTTGTGATGGGGGTGGGGTGGGGGAAGAGGCCTGATTTGATTGACAAGAAGCTGAGACCTACTCAGGTTCAGCGTCTTGTTTTAGATCACCATTAGCAACTAACCATATTTCCCTATTTGGCTTACCCAAATATTGAACCTGTCTAAGCATTTTTTTTTCCCTCTGAGTTTACCCTGGCCTACAGCAGTAAGTTAATCAGATTGAGCCTCAAATGGCCATCTTTAAGAATCTTTTGGAAAAGATTCTTCACCGAAGTGGGGGGAGATGGTTGAACTGAATTCCTGCAAGGCCTTCCCACATTGGGTTCTACAATGTGAGGGTCCATAGGTGGTCTTGAGAACTACACACTTACTGTTGTGGATCACCTTTCAGATTTTTACACGAGTTTGCAAGTGGACGCAGCTCAACACTCCCCCTGTCCCTATTGGGAGATTGATGTGGTGTTGCGAACAAGGGTCATAGGTACAGCCAACTTTGAATAGAATGAATGATAGTTCCCCCATAGTCTTTCACTATTTCTTAGGTAGAAGAGAGTAATATCTATGTTCTGAGTTATCCCTGAAAAAAGGCATTGGGAGTTTTGCAAGTGTATCAGGAACTAGAAGATATGTTCATTGTAGCCTCTTTATCTCTCCCACCTTGAACCAGCCTCCCTGTTCCTCCCTTTCCTGTTTCTCCAGTCCTAAACTTAGCGAGGAGACAGGGGTACAGATGAGCAAAAGAGGGATGGGTCAAGGGCGGACAGGCAGGTGCTTCCCTGCAGGTGTGGGTGAGTGATGGGCGGGTTCCCTGCGAGCGAGCGTCCACCGCCCCTTGGGCCGTGGCCTTCCCACGTTTGTCGTGTTTTCTCTTTCAGCCCCGACAGCAGCCGTACATCTTGCCTCCCATGCACGTCCAGTGTGGGGAACACTACTCGGAAACGCATACTTCACAAGGTAACTGGGGCTTGCCATTTTCCCTTCGTCAGATGAAAAGTTGAGGACCTGTGAGCAGTAAAGATGATTTTTTTTTTTAGATGACAGTCATACTTTTGTTTTGACTTTGTCATTGTCTGAATGACAACAGGCAGCAGCTTCGATTTATGAAAGGCATAGAATGTCATTGGCCCCCAAGAGGAAAATTTTTCCAGAATTGGCTGCCAAGGGAGTTGGGAGAAGGCAGGGGGCAAGTTCCTTTTCCTCCTGCCTCTGGTAAGTGGGCTTGGAGAAGAGAGAGGGACAGTAAGCCCAGTGGAATACTCTTTACCCTCGCTGCCCCTGTCGGAAAGCTTGGAACAGTCAACTGGGCTCTCATGGGGACAGAGAATACCGGCGTCCAGAATATTAAAAGAAAGGCACAAATCCTCTGAACTCCTCTTTTTCACTATTGCCTGCCAGTTGTCTGTGCACTTGTTCTTGCCTCTGAGTACATCTGTTTTCTTCCTCTTTTTCTCCCCCAAACACCACCATACAAGATGTGTGAGAAAAATTCATTCCAATAATAATGATTATAATAATCACAATTAACGTTTATAGGGCAATTCCTCTCCCTCAGCAGTTTGCTAAGCCCTTGCAACGTATTCATTTAATCCTTGAACCCACGCAATGGGTACCATTATTCCATTTTGCAGATACAGAAAGTGGGATACAGAAGGAGTGTTGGAGGAACTTGGAGAGGAAAACTGGTGTCAAGAGCTAGGGCTCTTCATCATTACACTAAACTGCATTTCAAGAAAGGAATGATATTAAACTTGGATGTTGACAGTCTGTTAAATGGATAATTCGTTTCTGTGTTACTGTATGCCGCCTATTTTGAATCTCTCTGTGCTGTCAGAGTGTGCGTATGGAAACTTAGATAATCAAGACTATTTAATAAAACTCTACTTTTTATAAGCAGACTAGCAGAGTTGCCCTGCTTCTGTGGGAAAACACGAAACCCCACTAGAGGTGGAGAAGGGGGACACCTTTGTCTCTGTGTTTTGCTGGTTTTTCTTGCCCAGCTCATCTCATCTGGTCTGGGACCATACTCCTCTTCAGGCAGCTGAGTGTTTTCAGTCACCTTTTCTGGTTGGTGGGGGTGTTTTGTTTTGTTTGCCTTTCTGCCTTGTCTTCCTCTACTTTGCTCATGCTTAAATCCATAGTGTGAAAATGAATGTACTTTGCCTACCGAAAAGTGTCTCAGCAAGAGGTTGCCTTTGTGTGTGTGTGTGTGTGCGCGCACGTGTGTGTACACGTGTACGTACCTAGAATGGGCCTGACTTTAGAAATCTCTTTATCCCTTTAGATACCTCCTTAAGGTATTATTAATTTTAATGTGAATTAACCTCAGTGAGGAAACCGATTCTAGAGGAGAGTTTTAGGCAGTGGCTAAAAGAACCCCTGATTCTGATTTTGCCTCCTCTGGTTGCTGATCAGAACAAACTAGCCATGCATGCTGACATCCTGGCTGCATCGCTTGTCTTGTGTCTTAATGAATGCTCAGCCATCCCTCGGGTAAGGGGACCTTTTCCACTGCCGTCAAGAACATGAGCCTCAGGTACTCAGTAACGTCAAATCTGTTGCCCTGTTAAAGTTCTTGACTTCCTGGCCCTAATATCCAGTCCTCTGTTGCTGGACCCTGCACAGGAAGACCGGTTTACCCACCATGAGGGCCATTGTTGGTGCCTGATTGCAGAGCTCATGGCAAAATCGAGAACTGGGCCAGGTGATGACTAATCCAAATGTGCCTAGTTTCCTTTGATTAGATTCCCTCTTTCTTGTTAGTATGCTTTAAAGTGTTCCTTCTGTATGTTGGCATCTCACCCAAGAGTTACTCGTTTTTCCATGGAATATGTTGCGGGGAGACCACAGAATTTCACTCTTAATGACTTGCAAAAATCACACCCCTGAGTGTGAGGATGAAGGTAATTGAGGCAGGATGATGTGGAGGCTCACGTGCCTTTGTTTGCCTCCCTGTAGACAGCATTGTCCCCGGGAATGAAGAAGCCTTATACCGCAACTCTCACAACAGCCTGGACTTAAACTATCTAAACGGCGCCATCACCAATGGCAGTGTGTGTAGTGCTCACAGCGTCAACTCCCTCAGCTGCTCCCAGACGTTCATCCAGGCCTCTCCCGTGTCCTCCAACCTCAGTATCCCGGGCAGTGACATCATGCGGGCGGACTACATCCCTAGCCACCGGCACAGCGCCATCATCGTGCCATCCTACCGGCCGACGCCTGACTATGAGACAGTCATGCGGCAGCTGAAGAGGGGGGTCATGCACGCGGACAGCCAGAGCCAGTCTCTGCGAAACCTCAACATCATCAACACGCATGCCTACAACCAGCCAGAGGATCTGGTGTACAGCCAGCCTGAGATGCGGGAGAGGCACCCCTACACCGTCCCCTATGGGCCGCAGGGAGGCTACAGTAACAAACTGGTCAGTCCGTCTGACCAGATAAACCCAAAGAACAACATGGTGCCGAGCAAGCCAGGGGCAAGTGCCATCTCCCACACGGTGAGCACGCCGGAGTTGGCCAACATGCAGCTGCAGGGCACCCAGAACTACAACACGGCCCATATGCTCAAAAACTATCTCTTCAGGCCGCCACCCCCCTACCCGCGGCCGCGCCCTGCCACCAGCACCCCGGACCTTGCCAGCCACCGCCACAAGTACGTCAGCGGCAGTAGCCCTGACCTGGTGACCCGCAAAGTGCAGCTCTCAGTGAAGACCTTCCAAGAGGACAGCTCGCCGGTGGTGCACCAGTCTCTCCAGGAGGTGAGCGAGCCCCTCACGGCCACTAAGCACCATGGCACGGTGAATAAGCGCCACAGCCTGGAGGTGATGAGCAGCATGGTGCGGGGCATGGAAGCCATGACCTTGAAGTCGCTCAATATCCCCATGGCTCGCCGAAACACGCTCCGGGAGCAGGGACCCCCCGAGGAGGTGTCGGGGAGCCACGAGGCTCACCAGCTCCCCCATTACCACCACAAGAAGACTTTCTCGGATGCCACCATGCTGATCCACAGCAGTGAGAGCGAGGAGGAGGAGGAGGAGGAGGCCCCGGGATCGGTGCCCCAGATCCCCGTGCTCCGGGAGAAGATGGGCTACAGTGCCCAGCTACAGGCAGCCTTGGCCCGGATCCCAAACAAACCCCCACCCGAGTACCCTGGCCCAAGGAAAAGTGTTAGCAATGGGGCGCTGAGGCAAGACCAGGTCAGCCTGCCTCCTGCCATGGCCAGGGCCAGGGTCCTGAGACACGGGCCGGCCAAGGCCATCAGCGTCTCCCGAGCTGACCAGCTGGCCGTGGCTGGGCCTTCCCTCGGTCCGTCTATCTCGGAACCCGACCTGACGAGCGTGAAGGAGCGGGTCAAAAAAGAGCCTGTGAAGGAGAGACCCGTGTCCGAGATGTTCTCCCTGGAAGACAGCATTGTAGAGAGAGAGATGGCCCTCAGGGTAAGTGTCTTGCTCGCCCAGGGCGGAGTCTGGGCCCCCCACCCCCACCCCAGCCTCCTCTGCTCCTTTGCCATGACTCAGAGAGTAAAAGCACCCGGATGCTGGGCACTGGAGAAGGTTCGGGGCCTATCCAGGGCATGTGCTGGGGAGTTGGAGAATCAGTGGGCATTTCATCAGGCCCTATTTTCTTTCACAAAACCATGTGTTTTACTCTTTCAGCTAAATCTTCCATGTTCATTCAGGGCTTCTGATTGGTGTACTTGGCACCCAGCGCCGTCATGGAGTTAGCATGCTGCAGGCTGGTTTTCGGGACGGAGTCCAGGCCAGCATCATGCTCTTTATTCAGGGTCATTTAACGCTATTGTGTGAGCTGCTGTGTCTCTTGTTGCTTCTTCCAGGGGAAAGCATTTTTCCCTGATTAGATAGTGTAAGAGAGAAGCATCCCTTCAGAACGTAGCTTTGTGTGGAGATCTCTGTGTCAGGATGGCTCACCAACATTGACTGGACCATGATGTGTCCGGCCTTATTTTCAGATTTTCTTTCAACAGATGTTTAATACAAACCATGAACACTGCAGTAAACTCACAAGTTCACCATTGAGCTTCAGTTCCCCATTAAGCTCATTCTATCAGAATTCACACACGTGCGTGTGAATACACACATGTATCTACACACACAACATTTGAAGATGCCTGATATTAGACATAACTAACTCTCATTCAGGTATGTACCAGCTGGGGACCAGGTCTGTTGCCAGAAGAAGAGCGCATAGGTAACAGACCAACAAAGTGAATTATCTCCTAATGAGAAAATTGATAGATTGTAGTTGCTACTTTAAAATTCTATTTATTCATCGTATTTTAGAGAGAGGGAGAGAGAGCAGAGGGAGGGGCTGAGGGAGAGAATCTCAAGGGGACTTCGAGCTGAGTGCAATCCCACAACCCTGAGATCATGACTTGAGCTGAAACCAAGAGTCAGATGTTTCACTGACTGACCCCCCAGGCACCCCTGTTGTTGCTACTTAAAAAAAAAAAAAAAAAAAAAACCTTCAGATTACCATTGCTGCTTGTTCTGGAAATTTTCACTCCCTTAAAAAATGAAAAATCATTTCATTACAAGTAAGCAGACCCTCCTTGACTTTTCCTCTGCAGGTACCACACCTCTACTGTAAGGTAGCTGGCGCTTAGGAACTCCAGAGTGGCTGCCAAGTTAAAATTTGCTTTGAGAGGGTTCTTAGACTCCCTTCCTTTATAAGTCTCCCTGCACCCCAGTGGGTAATCAAGCTGAGAGAACAGTTAAAGGCCCAAGTTTTAAGGAAGCCACGTTTTGGGGTTCAGGGATCTAATCTGTAGCAACATTATTACTTTATTTTTTAATTTTTTTAAAGATTTTATTCATTTATTTGACAGACACAGCGAGAGAGGGAACACAAGCAGGGGGAGTGGGAGAGGGAGAAGCAGGCTTCCCGCGAGCAGGGAGCCCGATTGGGGGCTCGATCCCAGGACCCTGGGCAGATGCTTAACGACTGAGCCCCCCAGGTGCCCCTGTAGCAACATTATTACTTTAGACAAATTTTCAGAACATTACCAGCAGCTCCAATTTGGCCCTGAGTAGAATAGCGCTAAGAATTTGGTACAGGCATAACTTTTTCCACTTTTTGCAAACCTAGAGGGAAATTGTGAAAGATGTGCTTGTGCCTCTGGCCAATAAAACCATTTGGCTGGGGGATGGAATGAAACACGGGGGTGGCGCCATGGGGGAGAGCTTTCCCAGCTTGGAAAAAGTCATGCAATGGTAGAAATGGATTTTCAGCACGTCTTGGCCCCAGGGGCTCCTTTACCACAACTCAAGAACCTGTCAGTCCGAACATTTGGCTCTGCTGTTTCCCCTGCTGATTTGACATTTATTGACACCTACATGGTCCCATAGCTTCATGGTGGTCATCTTCATCCTCTCCTCTTGTTACCTGTATTCATCAAAACCCTGGATCCATACCCGTGGTTCTGACTCCCTACATAGAGCTTCATGCACCATTACAGAGAAGCAAGGGAGTGTCCACTGTTTTTCCTGCATGCCCTCCCACCCCATCCGTATGGATAATAGTGAATAACTGATTTCACCCCTTAATTGTAGCTCAGGAACATCATTACCCCATCCCTACTTCGTTTTCCCATTGACTTCCCCCCCCCCCCCAATTATATATGCTCAGGAGCTCAGGGACTGCTCTCCTTGGCTGGTGTCTTGACCTTAGAGAAGGACTAGGAGGTTCTTCAGTGAAGCCACTGTGCCAGTGAGTGGCTCTGAAGGTTGGGATGGTTCTCCATCTGCTCTTTTTTATCAAGAAGCTCCCCCCCACCCCACCCCCATGCCTTTCCCACCATGGACAGCTTGTGCCTGGCCTGTTAGGAATGGGTAAGAATGGAGAAAGCTGTCCAGGCTTCTCTAGGATAAGAAAACAGAAAATTTAACCAAAGGGGAACTGGAGGGGGACAGGTATGGTGAGAATGTACCCTGTGGGCAACTCTCCATAATTTTGGAGCCACTTGTCTCTTTGATGGATGATTCAGGCCCGCTGTTGTGGTAGGTTCCTCCTTCCGGCTTCTGCCGTGAGCACATTTCACTGTTTGTAGCCCCTGAACCCCAAATTGGGTGCCAGGAACAGAAAAGGCCAAATCAGATTTTTGAGTTACTTATTTTTTATCTCTGATAACAAGCTGATAGAATAAGTGAGAAGGAACTAAGAGAAATCGTTTATCGCTGGGGTTTCAGTTTTCACTAGGTAACTAGTAATCCTTTCCTGAGAAAGACACGTTGGTTACTTTTTGCCTTAGGCCTCGTTAGTGTCACCTTATGGTACAGATGGGAAGGAAGCAGAAGGACTGTTTGGAGGACCTTAGGGACATTTTTTTTCCCGAAATGATTGCTTTTCTCAGAATTTTGCAAAGGAAGTGAAATGTTCCCAATTAAAAGAGGTGACAGGGGAAAAAAATTATTTCTCAGAGACACAAACTAATAAGCAAGCAGACAAACAAAAGCCCAAAATTGGAATCTAGAATCTTCAAAATCTTCCTGGGTTTGAGAGGCCAGGGCCGTTCTTTTGGCTGAAGGTGAATCCGCCTTTTCTCACTTTCCCACAGTTAGTCTTCCTCTGAGATGTTCCTTTAGTTTGTGTGGTGGGTCGGTCCTGTCACTGGATGAAGCATCTTATTGGCGGTCACTCAGAGGGGCCAGGGCTCCGTCCTGACTAGGGACATTGAGAAGCTGATGGGATGCATGTGGGGTTCTAATGCCCACCCACCCCCCCCACACTTGGAATAACCCGCTAACCCTTTGTCCTCCGCCAATACCATGGCTCCATCACCACACCTCTCGGGGAGTAAATTTTTAAGTGATAGACTCGGAAAAACAAAAAACAGAAAACCTTAAGCCTTGAAGAGAAATCAGGGATAAGATGACCCCCTTCACCTGTGGCAGCCAAAGGAATCTACAGAACGGTTTCACTTCTCTTAGGATCAAAATCTTAAATGCCGTTTAACTCCTCTGCTCGTATGCTGTAGGAAGTTCTGCTATTCTTCTGCCTTCTAAAACAAAACTATTTTTGGGAAATGCTCTAACTGGCTAGCCTGAGTAAAAGGAGATTTCTTTTATACCTCAGTCCATTTAGGGGGCACAAGAAAGCACAGCAGTAGATATAACAACCAGAACCTTGACTGATTCAGTTTCAGAATGTTGGTGCAGGTGAGGATGGAGAGGAAATCAAAATGCCACAAACAAGGGCCACGCGTTGACCTCCAACCCTTTTCCCAGAATGGGCTGCTTAGCCCCCAAATCCATATTCTCCCATAGCTGTGTCCCATTCAGTTCCACCCTGGTCATTGGGAGCCATGGTGCCCATTCCTTGGGGCCTTTTGGATGCAGCAGGAGGGGTAATGCCTCCTGGAGCATGTTAGATGACCACAGACTTTGGTGTTGGCAAGTCTGCTAACCCACGTCAGCCCTCGCACCAGGGATGGTGTCCCAGGGACCAAAGCTTCAATATAGGATTTGACATCCTCCATCTCAGCCCCTCAGAATGGAAACTTGGGAAGGTTTTTCTTTATGGTTTATGAATCTAGATTTCTTAACAATGCAGCAAACAATGTTTATAGATTTTTTTTATCATTTAATCTGTATAAGAGGTCCATCACTGTGACTGGATTGGATTGTTCATGACGCTTTTTCTCTTTCCCCCCATCCTGTCTTCCTTCAGCCCTTACCTTCCGGAAGTGTCTTGCTGGTACACAGTTTTTCTTTTTTTTTTCTTTTTTTTCCTTTTTGAGTGAGCCCCATGGCAGGGGGGTATTTGCATGAAGTCTTTGCTCTTACTTGTTTGTTTGTTAGTTCATTCATTCATCCATTTTTAGATAAAAGCTCAGGAGTCCCGGAGGAACTGGCTTCCGCAGCACAGTGGGAATAATGGGAAGGCTGTGTTTGAATTTGCCCCACTAATGGTGATTGTCTGCATTCCTTGGCTGGGGAGTTACAGATTTGGGGAGATTAAAACACATTCCAGCATTCTACCCGTATAATAAACAATGAGAACATGCCTTTTCTTGCCACAAGAATCTAGAGAAGCAGAAGATGGCAAGCCTGGAGGCACAGAAGCGGCCGCTCATGTTGGCAGCATTGAATGGACTCTCAGTTGCCCGGGTCTCAGGGCGGGAAGACAGTCGAGCTGATGCCACCCGAGTTCCCATGGACGAGAGGGTAAGCGCTGGGCTTGTCAAACGTGTGATTCATGCTCTGTGGCCTTGGGATTCCAGAGCGCTCTCTCTCCTTGCCCAAACATGCCAGCACTAAGGTTTGTTTGATGAATTAATTCTCCAATTTGAGATTAGCAAGACCCAGTGTGTGCATTGTATTAAATTGATTCCTTCCAGCATCTCAAGTTTCTTTGTCGAGTCAGCACAGTGATGCCTGCATAACGGGACCAGCCCCTAACAGGCTGCGTGGCCTTGGTCCAGTCATTCCGTTTCTTTGGACCTGTTTCTGTTTTTGCAAAACGAAGAAGTTAAGCCCTTGCCGTAGCTCTCAAACCTCTATGAATTTTGTGAACCCTTTCTTAGGGAGTGATTATCTTACCCAAACACTTAAAGGATTCTTTTAATAGACCATCCCCTTGTTTGGCTATAAGGCATGGCTGATTTATCATTGTTAGGATAATGCGTTGTGAGAACTTTGGTTTTGAAAAGCGGGAAGAAGATCCATGGTAGTGTTTTAGAGGTGAAGAAAGGTGTTCCTTTAGTTCCTGAAATTCCTGTCCGGTTAAGAAACACGTGTAAAAAAAAATTTTTTTTAAGACTTTATTTATTTGACAGAGAGAGACACAGTGAGAGAGGGAACACAAGCAGGGGGAGTGGGAGAGGGAGAAGCAGGCTCCCCGCTGAGCAGGGAGCCCGATGCGGGACCCGATCCCAGGACCCCGGGATCATGACCTGAGCCGAAGGCAGACGCTTAACCACTGAGCCACCCAGGCACCCCGAAACGTGTGTAAATTTAATAGAGTGCTAGTAACAATCCTGTTTTAGATTTCTGCCAGTATATGTGAAGTACTAGAAAGGTTTTAAAGGCAGAAGGGACTTTAGAGGAATCCGCATTTAATCCAATGAATACCATGTTTTTATAATTAGTTTGGCCATGGGAAAATAAAAGAATCTCATCCTCAGAACTAGGGAACTGTGGACCAGTACCATCTTAAATTTAGCTCAAAAAGAAAAAAAAAAAGCCCTCTCTGGAAGCGGAGAAAAGGATGATGTTTGGATAATTAAAGATGAACATTCTTCTTATCACAGGACTTTTTTTTTTTAAAGATTTTATTTATTTATTTGAGAGAGAGAGCATGAGAGGGAAGAGGGTCAGAGGGAGAAGCAGACTCCCCGCTGAGCAGGGAGCCCGATGCGGGACTCGATCCCGGGACTCCAGGATCATGACCTGAGCCGAAGGCAGTCGCTTAACCAGCTGAGCCACCCAGGCGCTCCTTATCACAGGACTTTAAATAGAGGTGTTAATAACGAAAATACTGATGTTGAATTTCAGTTCTTGCCTGGCCTTAGTGACCGGTTCTGTTTAAAGCATGAGTGAGAAGGAAATTGGTTATTGGGCCAGAGAAACTAGCAATATGGTGAATAAGGAGACCAAAATAATCAAGCATTCATTGTATGTCCTGAAACTACTTATTAACACGATCACTGCAGATATTTAAAGGAATCTGACTTGGAGTTTTTGGATAAGGTAATCCAGAGAGCTGAAGATTAGTTTCTGTTGCAGTTCAGAACCCTGAAGAAAAAGCTAGAAGAGGGAATGGTGTTCACAGAATATGAGCAGATTCCAAAGAAGAAGGCCAACGGCATTTTCAGCACGGCCACTCTGCCCGAAAACGCCGAGCGAAGCCGCATCCGCGAAGTGGTCCCCTATGAGGAGAACAGAGTGGAGCTGATCCCGACCAAAGAGAATAACACAGGTTACATTAATGCCTCCCACATCAAGGTGAGAAGGGGAGCGTGTTGGGGAGGCTTGAGGAAGATCGCTGGGTTAGGGGCAAATGTGCAGGGAGAAAAAAAAAAAAATCGTAAGGCTCCGGCTGAGCATCTTGGCTCGTCCCCAGCCCCCGAGGGAGTGTTTTGAACTCCTGTGCATCTCAGTCAGCTGGAAGGGCATGTCTGTCTCTGCAGAGAGAAGGAAGCCTCGCAGCCTCAGGGAAAACCTCAGGTCAGCTATTTCTGCAGCCTGCTCACCATAGAGGGTTTCACTTTTTCCTCTCTGAGTTGTAACTCTCCCTAACACTCACAGGGAAAAGCTGAGGATTGTCCTCTTCAGTTCCTAATTAGCACATGATGGAGACTCTGGAAGTTGCAGGCATTGTATTTCTCCTGTCAATGAAGGTTTTAGGATGTTCAGGAGCAACGGAAACTTACCAGTTCTCCCTGGTACTGCTACGGGTTATGTGCTGTCCCGCTGAAGTCCCAAATTTGCATGTTATTTAGAAGAGTGGATTCATTTAAACACAAGCCAGAAAGGTGTGGTTGATAGTGACTCTTGCAAGATTGACCGCATTATTCAGTGCATGAATATCATTAAATTTTTGTTGGTATTTCAGATACTTCAAATCTTCACATCTCAGTATTTCATCAACTTTAAAATTAGCGTAGCTCGACCCGAGCTAAAATGTAGAGTTCTAGATACAGGTGTATATGGTTAAATATTTCCTAAATGGTTTACCTTCCTCAGTCTTCCTAGTAACAGAACATAGTTGCTTAGAATGTCACTGTATATGCACTGATTTCCACAGTGGGAGAATTTATTCATATACTAATATTACAGCAGGATGTTTTTAAGTAATACACAGTTCATGGTAATAGTCCTCTGTGATCATAACCTTATAAATCTGTTTTTGGCCTTGTTGGAGTTACTTCCTTTCTTCATTGGACTTTCCAACTGTAGCTGAATTTTTGGTAGTTTCCTTTGAGCTTCTAAAATACAGCCAGATGTCTGGTGCACGTATCCGTCATAATAGTTGCAGGACAGAATAGGAAAAGAATACTGGGGTTGGATGGAGGGGTTTTGTACACAGAGCATAGATAATTCCATGTATATCTTTAAGTACCAGAAACTACTGTCAAAAAATGTAAAGGAGTAACAATTGTGGATCATATTGGGTACTTTAGTTTTTGAGAGTGAAAACTAAAACTATAAAAAATGAACCTCAGGAAACTCTCACGTAAACTGACGCTAGTCAGTTTCCTGGGCTTAATTTAGATTATGGAATAACAACCAAAATAATCAAACAAAGATACAAATCGCACAGCTGCTTCTTGATAGAATGTCTTTGGAATCTGACATAGCTATACTGTGCTATCTTCTTCTTTGGGCCAAATATCCTTCGTCATTTTCCATCTGCTCTTGCCCATTGGGTATTGTTAACAGAAGCATCCCCTTCGTCTGTATTCTCCAAGGCTTACATTTCATCTTGTGGATCTGAGTTAGACATGGGTGCATTTAATAGACCCATAGAGCTTGCAAGAACTTGTCCTTGTGTTTTTGGAATAGAGTTGTGTATCTTGCCAATGTTTTCTCCCTGGGTTCCAAGCAGCTATTAACACAGAGCAGAGATTGATTTGCTCCAGAGGTAGAATCATCACATCTGTGAAATCTACCTCAGTAGCATTGGTTGTTGTGTTTTTAATGCAGTTTTTAATGCCCTCCTGTCAATACTTGGAATTTGCTGAAAGGCCCCAGGCAGCCGCATACTCTGGAAGTATTTATGGTTCCTATATTTTGGGTGCCAGAGAGGCTAATGTCTAAAATCACAATTCCACAGATAAACGAAACCTGGCCAGCCAGCCAATATATGAATGTTATCTCCCACCAGTACTTGGAAAATGGATTTTGCTTGCCAGCTTTGACCTAAACATGTCTTGTGTAATGAGACAATAGCTGACATTGTTTTTGTTGGAATCCAGTTAGTGTATAGTTTCATAAAATAAATGAGGGAAAAAAGTTTCAAACAATGATCACTTCATGCTCCAAGAGCTATCCAGAGATTTGCACTGGTGGATGTCTAAGGAGGCCTGACTTTGCACAGGAATGGAAAGGAACACAGAAAAAATGCCCCCCCCCCCCCAGGGCACGGTTTCACCCTGACGGCATGACCTTCAACACTTTGGGCACGACTTCCTCATGACTCTCTGCCACTGATACTTAATAGCTGCGGAATTAGCCTCCCAAGATCACCCTGAGCTGCATGGGGTAATACTTTTATTATCCAAAATCATCTCATGACTCCAAATTTTGTTTGGATACTGTGGTACTGCACAAGGGAGAAGTTAACAATCAAATATCATGTATTGTTGATTTAAGTGCATTTGTAACACCCCTACCGTATATGGCACCACGGAGTAGCGGGAATGATGGAGGTTTATGACACAGTTCATAGGTCATTGGTACAAAGGCATCGCTTCCAAAGGGATGTTATTTCATGAACACTTTTTTTTTTTTCATTGTTTAAAAGGATGCCAGAGAGTACTGTGCCCCCAAACTGTGGATCACGGTATAATAGTGGGGTGTGAAATCAATTTAGTAATCAGGACCAGTTTTGAATTGTATGTGTGTGTTTTAAATAGACTAGATAGAGAAGAGGAAAGAATAGAAGCGATCAGAGTACATCGCACATAGTAAGCACAAGTATTGTTTCTGCCACAAATTCTGTTAGGTTATACACACCCATAGGGTCATGTAATGTGTATGTGTTTTTAACACTCACTGGTTTGTATATAATTGAAATTACAGACAAAAATTAGGTGTATTTTAATAGGCTTGAGTGGCAAAAAGTATTTTCATGTGAGAATGTGTCCCCAGGCTTTTTGATAATGGCACTAACCCATTTGGCCAAAAAAATATTATCAGGGGTTTTCAGGTAGAGACAGATGTTCCCATGGTCAGCAGGTAATGCCGTCCTGGATTTGGGGTTCATTTACCATTGCTTTCCTTGGTTTCCAGGTGGTGGTTGGTGGGGCAGAATGGCACTACATAGCTACTCAGGGGCCCCTGCCACACACATGTCACGACTTCTGGCAGATGGTGTGGGAGCAGGGAGCGAACGTGATCGCCATGGTCACTGCAGAAGAGGTAAGGGCACCAGGGGCACAGCGGTCCGTTCCCGGGGCGGGGGGGTGGCCAGAGACCAGCTTTGCACCTGGTGACCTCACTGCCTCATCCTGCTTCCTACAGCACCATTTCTCTGCAAATCCTTTTTCTCTCTGGGACCCATTTCTTTTCTCTTCTCCCACATGGATTTGTTTTATTTCCCAAAGATAATTTATTGTCGTGTCCCATTTTCATCCAGCTCTTCAGCGCTTTTCCTTAGACTGCCATAAACTAAAATCAATCAAACAAATAAGAACCAAACTTCGGTTCAGCCAGCTCACTTTTGTGTGCCAAACAAAGCAATCATCTTTCCCCTGGAATCTGAGGGAGAACTTTGGGGCTGCTGTGGGTAAATCGGCACACATTCCCCACCTCGGGCATAGCCAGCCCCACACAGCTTCATGCTTATCAGCTGAAAAGAGACCAGAAACTGTTGTTCCTGTAGAGGTCTCTCTATTCTTTGGGGAGAGGGGAAAAAAAATTTTTTTTTTCTGTCTTTGCCAAGTCAAACATAGTTTTTCTGTTGTAACTAGAGAACTCTGCGTGGTGTTATAAAAACCGGTCAACCTAGCAGTTTGCTCCGAGCTTGCCGCCTCTAAGGGAAGAAGTTTTGTATTTCTTCTCTTGTCACATTCTCAATTTTTTTTTTTTATGTTAACCGCTTCCTTCTCTTCCGAATTTCATGAAATTTTAACTTCTGTTTTGAAGTCATTTAAGGGACCTGCTTCATCTGTCTTTCACCAGTATCTACGGTAAGGCCTACCCTCTTCCTACAAAGTTTTAAAGGGCGGGGAGCAATGAACTGAAAAAAACAAAAAACAAAAAACACGTTTCCTTCATTGACTGTTCTGAGCAGTTGCTTTCCAGAGCCGCCCCTTAAGAAGATAGTGGTGAAAGGCACTTCCAGCCCTTTAAAGCCAGTGGTGCTTCTCTCAGCTGACCCGTATGAACTTCCCATGAAGAGTAAATTCTCCATAAAATCTCTGGAATCGTTTTATCGTCTTATCAAATCTCATTACTGGAAGGGATTCATTGAACTCAATGTAGTGTGTCATCTGTGCTGATCTCCCGGGCATGGTGGCCGACAAGTTAGGCGTGATCCCTGTCCCCAGGGAGCTTCCATCCTGGTGGGAGGGACCATACAAAATGAACAAATAAAGGAAGCCCAGTGGGAGTCACGGCCACCCACGAAGGAAGCGGAAGGGAGAATGGGATAGAGAGTGGTGGGGGGGGCTGCTTTCACTCAGATGCACAGCCAAGGGCCCTCCGAAGAGGTTGCAGTTGAGCCGAGAGGGTGACCAGGAGGCCAGCCTGACAGACACGAAGGCTGGTGATCTGTGTGGCCGCCAGAGGCTTAGAGTCTCTTGGAATTTGTCATCCACTTGGACACTTAGGAGTGATAGAAATTGAAGCTAAACCTACTTTCACAGGATTGGTCAGTGAAAGAGGCAGGTGTCTTTCACACTTCCTGCTCTGGGGTTCCTTCCAAGCCGCCGTCTGATCCACCCCCCACTGCAGTGACATAACTGCGCAAACCTTATAGATAGACCCCATCTGGTTCCTGCTTCTGGCCCCTCTCCACTAGCTCTTCTGCGACTGCAGCTCGGTTGTCAGTCTTCTGAGTATTTCCTTGCTGTAACTACCCTTGTGAAGCTTATTAGGTCTTAGCGTCAATGCATGGGATCTCCCCTGTGATGGAGACTGCACAGTGCCCTGAGTCCGTGACCTAGAAGCTACTTGCATTTCCTCTGTCCTCGGATTTTAAGATGCAGAGGATAAGAGCTTCCCCTGACTTATTTCCAGTTTTGCTTTTGTGTGTGATTCAGGAAGGCGGAAGAACCAAGAGCCATCGATACTGGCCCAAACTGGGTTCCAAGCACAGCTCGGCCACCTACGGCAAGTTCAAGGTCACCACAAAGTTCCGAACAGATTCTGGTTGCTATGCAACCACAGGCTTGAAGGTCAAGCATCTTTTGTCTGGGCAGGAAAGGACAGTGTGGCATTTGCAGTATACGGACTGGCCAGATCACGGCTGCCCAGAGGATGTCCAAGGATTTTTATGTAAGTTTTTTCTTTGCAGTCAGAATTTTACCAGCTGCCTCCATGGTCTGATCAGTTGGAAGTGAAATGGAAAGAGAAGATGTTTTCTCATAAGTGGCAAAACTATTACGTTATTGAAGTATATGTCCCTCCATATGGTATGAACAGAGAAGAATACATGTCATTTATCATAGTCTCCTTACCTTTTACCCAAATAAGCTGAAACTGTGGTAAACTAGTTCATTCTATCTTGATGTAGGCTTTTGGGTATTCAATAAATGGCTGCTCTGACAGATGTCCCATGTCTGAGCCTTGGAAACATTATGTTAAGTAGAAGAAACCAGACACAAGAGGACAAACATTGTGTGATTCCATTTTAATGAAGTACCCAGAATTGAAAACTTCACAGAGGTAGAAAGGATGTAGTAGAGGTTACCAGGGACCAGGGGAAAGGGGGAGTAGAGAATAGAAAGTTATTGTTTGAGGAGAACAAAGTTTCTGTTTGGGGCAATGGAAAAATTCTAGAAATGGATCCCGGTGATAGTTACACAACCCTGTAAAAAACATTTATTTTTTATTTTTCATGGGGGTTTGTGTCTCATAAGCCCTGCATTTCCCTTCCATATAGCAGAAATTTCAATGAGTACTTTCTGGTTACCTCTGATTAAGATACTGGCAATTACTGGAATCAACTTGTTTTTGAAACCATCATTTTTGAATTCATCAATATATTTCTGAGAGACTGTGGTTTCCTTAGAAGCTCACTGACCTAGAATATGTGCAATACTTTGTTTGAAAAGCCAGAAATTGAGTGTGTACCCACTGCATTGCAGGCTGTGGACCAGGCTCTTAGAATGCAGGAAAGAGACCGTCTCTGTTTTGAAGGCACTTATGGTCTCATGAGAAAGGCAGGCCAGTGAGGGCAGTCCGGGGTGTGAGATCTGACATTGCCACCATCTGCTTTTTGGTAATGGCTACAATGCTCCCCATTCCTTTCCCACAGTCTGGCTTAATTGTCCTGCACTTGTGGGGACAAGGCATTCCTGCCTCTCCCGGTGAGACCTCGGGCTCTCGGCAGATTTTTTACTGAGATGTTGTTGCCTGTCCAGCTGAGAGCAGACAACAGTGGGAACATCACCTGCAGGTTGGATAACATTGAACGCTTGATTTTAGTTTGATATTTACTTAGAATTGGGGTATGCGGAGAGGAGAAGGGGGAGAGAGAGAGAATAGGTTCCCAAGAACCTACAAGTGCCATTTCAACCAGTTCCAGCAGGAAGCTTCTGATGTATACGTGTTCGCTGATGCAAGGACTTCATTTCCCACTGGGGCAGTGATGATGGCACTCGAGGGGCAGTCACTAACAGAACAGGAGGGGGATGGGAACCCGAGGACCTACAGCATGCCCTAGAGCATGATCTAGAGAGGGTCTGTGCCTCGCCTGAGGTCAGACAGTTACCTGTAGCTCCAAATATTCCTAAGGAGGGCAGGGACCTTTGTAGAACTCTCTTTCCTCGTAACGGTGCTCTTTTAAATTTTTTTTTCCTGGTAATCTTTTGCTAATTGATTTACTAGAATTATCTCCAAGATGCAGAAAATGGAAACAATAAAAGTAGATCAGTTTGATGATTGGCGAACAGCCCTGATAGAAGATTTGAGTCTATAAGGTGATTAAAATTATAGTCCAATCTTCTCAATCAGAACCAATTTAAGGAAGGCCCATCTAAATTACTGAAAAACAGAATATTTTTTAAAAGATTTATTTTTTATTTTAGAGAGAGAGAGAGAGAGTGGGGTGGGGGCAGACGGGTGGGGAGGGGCAGAGGAAAAGGGGGAGAGAGAATCTCAAGCAGACCCCCTGCCAAGCGTGGAGCCCCATGCGGGGCTCAATCTCAGGACCCAGAGATCATGACCTGAGCCAAAACCAAGAGTCAGATGCGTAATGGACTGAGCCACCCAGGCACTGCCATAGAGAATATTTTTAAACAATGTAAATTTAAGTGTGTTGGGGGTGGGGGTCTTCGAAATGTTGGCTCTTCCAGGTTTTTAGGAATTTAAAAAGATTGTTGCCTGTGTTTAAATTAGATTCCCTGCAGGCAGGGGACTTAGGGCACATTGTCTTCCAGCCTGGAGAAGTCTTCACTGAGTTACAGCTTAAGGAACTTTATTAACGTGACTGCTAGAGAGAGCATCCATTTTAATCCAGTTTTTCTGTGTTTTATGAAACTCCATGTGGTGGTAGCATCTGCTTTATGGATCAATATTCCTTTTACTTCTCTTCTTAAATTTAGCACAAGAAAAGGCTCTCTTTTGTGTGTGAACATTGCCTTTTTTGTCAGTGCACGGTCACCAAATTTCTCTCCTCTCTTACAGAAAAACTGTGAGGAGAATTCCATGCACGGTATTTAGCTCACGTTGGTCCCGGATAGTAACTACTCTGTCTGGTCATCTCAGATTGCCTTCCCTCTGTTTGGTTTTGTTCTAGCTCATTTTACATTACTGGTGGTGATGGCGTTGGTAGTAATAGCTTAATTTGGTAAACTACTTCAGATGATTTTTTTAAAAGATTTTATTTATTTATTTGACAGAGAGAGACACAGCGAGAGAGGGAACACAAGCAGGGGGAGTGGGAGAGGGAGAAGCAGGTCTCCTGCGGAGCAGGGAGCCCGATGCGGGGCTCGATCCCAGGACCCTGTGATCACGACCTGAGCCAAAGGCAGACACTTTAATGACTGAGCCACGCAGGCACCCCTTCAGATGACTTTTTAATTGCATTAATGTTATAAAGGCAAATAGGAGTTCATGTTAACTGTATGTAAACAGATGCTTCTAAGTTACTAGACGGGTTTGAACTCACTTTTTTTTCTCTCCAACAATTTGAGCACTTCCCCAGTCTTGTTTGCAATGCCGCATCGGGATGAGATTTTCTGAGTATCAAGAATCTTTAAATCCGTTTCTCCCCTGAGCTAGCAACTATAAAATCTCTATTACTAATTGACTTTTTCCGGTTCTTGGACTGTTTGAGGATTACATTTTATAGGCTTTTCCTTTTTCTCATGCCCATGAACAAGAAAAATCATTAAGGCTTGTACTGCTGTAATTTTTCACTCATGCCCAATTGGAATAGCGAGCAGACCCCTGCGCAGCCCTGCGGAGCCAGGCGGATGTCAGGAGGGACGCGGGAGGTGACAGGACCCTTCCAGTCCACACACACGTTGCCTCCAGAAAGGGGAGGGCTCAACTTGAGCTGCTGACATGACCACTCTAAGCTGAAAAGCAGGGAACCACCCCCACCCCCGCCACAAGCCTATTTTAAAATCTAAAAACGAAGTCAAGCCTCAGTTGACATTCACTCATTCAGTGAGGGGAAGGAGGAAGGGGCAGATGGATGCTCTTCCCACCAGAAATTGGCTCTGACAGGCAGGCGTTTCAAGGGGACCTAGCTGGTGTTCTGATCCCAGTCTGTTAATAGTAGGAATTGCTGTAAGTAATGTCGAGAATCATCTGCTTGGGGGACTTTGGGATTTGCAGAGGGAAAACAGAATTTAATTTTTAAAAAAGAACTATTTAATTTAAAGAACAAATTCTCCCGTGGACTAATTGACTCCCAGCTGGTCCTTTCTGGATCCAGGACCGTACCGCGGGTACCAGCCAAATAATTAGGGTCTTGTAAGAACTGTAAATTATTGTCACTTAAAAAACAAAACAAAAAAAGGTTCACCCTCCGTTTCCCACCCCCCACCTTCTCGTACGCAAAGCCATGTAGGACTTTGGTGACGGGATTTGCATTTTGTCTTGCAGCCTACTTGGAGGAGATCCAGTCGGTCCGGCGCCACACCAACAGCATGCTGGAAGGCACCCGGAGCCTGCACCCCCCGATAGTTGTCCACTGCAGCGCTGGTGTGGGGCGGACCGGCGTGGTCATTCTTTCTGAGCTGATGATCTACTGCCTGGAGCATAATGAAGTGAGTCATTCGCCGCTTTCCTGAATACTCCACCTTGGGGACAAATCTACACCGCAGCCAGACCTTCCCCGGGGCCCTTTTCATTTCCAGGGCTTCATTTCCTGTCTTCTGACAAGAGTTTTCCAGATCCATGATTCCTAGTTGGCCTCTGACATTTACAGCCTTTCTTATCATCCGCCTTTCTCTGCTCTGTGTAGACATGCAGATAACACACGCAAGAAAGAGATGGAAGTGTGAGATAGGAAACACTGAGGAAGGTCTGCTCTGCATCGCGTCTGCTTCCAGGAGGCTGTGGTGTTTTGTAGCTGGTCTAGTTTTATTGTGGATCATCTTCCACGGTGGGTTATCTGGTCACAGATTGTCTAGATGCGACTTGCGTTTCTGGGATGTGTTTTGGCCAAAATCCTATGTGAAAATGTGTATACTGGATCAGTGTCTTTTGTTCTTCAGAGGGAGGTTTAATCTGAAGAGGGTCGTTTGCTCTCGTCTAGACGGGCAGTGGGGTAGCACAGCAGGGTCGAGCCTCTGAGCGCACAGACATGGCCTGCCCATGCCAGGGCTGGACACCTCGCTCTTCTCCCCACAGAGGTGAGCTGCGGCTGTGGGGTGTCCCCCTGCTGCTCAAGGCCAGGGAGTCGTACAGAGGGGCTTTGGATTTCATGGAGATGAGATCAAATCAAATCTGAGGCTAAAGAACCATTCTTCAGCCTTTTATTCACATGGGTCTTTGGGGGTTTTAAATGGCTTTCGCTTATTTTATTGACGTTCTTAGTTGGGGTCTTCAGAACAGCCGTGTAGAGGAGCCAGGCACGTGTCAGTCATCCTGTTTTACAGAAAAGGAAACTGAGGCCCAGAAACAATTTAGTGACTTGTCCAGTGCCACGTGGCTCTCAAGCAGTGGTGGTAAGGTGAGAAGTGTGGTCTTCTACCTCCTGGTCCCGAGTTCTTTCTGTCTTCACTCTGCCGGCAGATGCCAAGTGCCATTGGTTCTTGTCCCATTCCCAAATTATACAGGGGCGCCTGGGTGGCTCAGTCAGTTAGGCGTCTGCCTTCAGCTTGGATCGTGGTCCCAAGGTCCTGGGATCGAGCCTTGCTCAGCGGGGAGCCTGCTTCTCCCTCTCCTCCCCGCTCGTGCTCTCTCTCGCTCTCTCTCAATAAATAAATATATTTTAAAAAATTTAAAAAGTACCTACAGCTTGGACAATCCAAGGAAACTTTTGAAGTGGCTCATTAGTTGTTAAATTAGGGAATGTGACAATGCATGTTCTGTGGGAGAATTGATATAATATATGGATTTACTCAGTGGTTTGAAAATCAGATTAAATATTGCCCCTACAAAAATGTGTTATATTGAAACTTCCAGGAAAACAATAAATACCAAGTTTGAACATGTTCAAAGGATTTTTAAACTCTCTGCCTATATATAGTTCATTTGGAAACTTTGAGTCTGTATATATGAATGTGCTGCTAAAAAGTAGAATCCACATGCGTGCGTGGCTCAGGCAGTTGGTTTTGGCTCAGGTCATGATCTAGGGGTCATGGAATTGATCTCCATGCTCAGCGGGGAGTCTTCTTCTCTCCCTCTCCCTTTCTCTCTCCTCCACCCTGCTCACACACTCTGTCTCTAAAGTAAATCTTTAAAAAAAAAGTAGAATCAGAGTTATACCAGAAGTTGCCCATTTTTAAAAACAGGCATTCTGTTGATGAGCAAAATGCCCATCGCAGAGTTAGCTGAGACTGCCTAACAGGAATTTTGTCATTCTCTGTGAGTTTTTAATCCTTTTGTCTCACATCATGAGATTTCTTGTTGGTTTGCTCCCCTGTCACTTCTGGAAGTCTCTAGAAGGGTCTAGTAGACTGAAGAGCTTGCCATTGAGTCCCAAATCGACTCAGTGCTGGAGAGATGGAAAGAGATGAAGCGGAATCGGGGTATACGTGACCTGAGTGTATCCGAGCTCCACCGGAGACACCACTGGCCTCTGGAGGAGGGCGAAGGGCCTTGTCATCACCCCCTCCCCACCGGGCCGCCTTACCACCCCCTTGTGTCACTGTCTTCCCCACGGTCCCCTTCTGTCTGTCTTGTCTGACATGAAAGATGGTTCTGTTCTGAGCTCTTTGGAGACCCATCAAAAGCTGAGTCTCAGTAATGTGATGACATGAAGGCTCATTGGCCACGAGATGCTATTGGCCCAGTAGAACATAAACAGCCCATGTCCAAGCCAGTGTGGTGCTGAGTGAGGGATTCGGCCATTAGGGCCTCGCATGGACTTGGTGAGGGCTCAGGGTGATTAAATTCTCTACAGTGTGTCCAAACATAGTGGATTTCCTCAATGCCCAGTTGCACGCCAGAACATTCTTTGCTGGAACATGGTCAGTCCAAAAAGGACTTCTGTTCCCATTGATATTCAAAGATAGCAAGATGACTCATATTGTTCACTTCCCTTCCCCTAGCACAAATATAGCCAGCCTTATCTGTCCCATTTCCCATCACTGCTATTGGGAGATGGTTGGGGGAAAAAAGTTCTCTACTTTGTTCTGCTTCAGGCCTGGCTAGTAAGAGTCAAACCCTTATTTCAAGAGAAGAGTGGAACATGTTTACCTTTTTTGTTTGTTTTTTAAGCAAAGATTTTGGCAAATAAATATGAAATTGTATGTCCTGTTTTTCTCTCAACTTCCCTGCCTTCTTTCCATGGCTTCTGGATTTAGCATACTTTATATTTTAGTCTGTAATCCATACAGTTTTAGTTTTGTCAGTGAAATGCCTTTTCTTTTTCCTGAAATAAAGATGCTTGCAGTGAGGTCAGGTAGCTGTGAGGTGAGGAGGGAAGGGAGCTCTCCCAGGCTGTGCTGACAAGCCTCTTGGTGGCCCAGCACTTTGGGTGGGTCCCTGAAGGTTAGCTTGACATTTTAATGCCTATACTTTTTTTTCTAGAAAGCATTAGTTTTATGGTTTGCGATACTCTCCCTTGCCCCCCTGGATTTAGTGCTCTGTCCTAGATTAGTTCATAATAAAAGGTTAGGTTCTCACTAGCCAAATAATGAGATGTCTTATCTTGCTGCTTTTCTGAGTAAGTTATCCCTTCTTCATGGGGCAGAGAGGAGAAAATGCCTTCTAGACAACACTGAGCCAACACCAACTGCTGCACGATTCCTTGGGGTTAGGGGCAGTGGACAGCAGAGACTCTGGGAATGAATCTTCAAGGCAACTAGGACTCTCGTTGATTACCAGGGGAACTTTCTTTGTCTTGTTTCCACCTGCCCCTTATCAGATAACGTACCCTCTTGAGGGCTGTGAATGATCATAATGGTGGGTGGAGCTGGAGGTACGGGAGGTGGCAGAGGTAGAGGAGGTGGGTGTCCTGATGGTGCAGGGGATGATGGTGAGGGAGGTGGCAGAGGGGAAAGGTGTGATGCCAATGACAATAATGACAACATTATGGGAACCACCACCAACCTATACTGAGTGTTTACCATGTGCCAACACCATTCTAGGAGCCTTACAACTCAAGTAGCCTTCACAGTAACCTTTACTCTGAGAGAGGTCCCAGTAATGCCCTTGTGTGACAGATTCCGAGGCACAAGTAGATGAAGGGACGTGTCTGTCCCACAGCCAGGAAGTGTGAAGGCCGGGGTTTGGCAGATGAAGCCTGACCCGAGCTCGTGTGACCCAACCTCGCTGTCAAAACCTTGGCGGGAACAGGGGAGAAGCAGCTTTAATCTGTCTTTGTATCTTCAGTGCCCAACTCAGCAATGCTCATCAGGCAGTGGGTTCTTATATAAGTTCATTGTTAGGTGCCTCTGGGTTGGACATCATGGTGTCCGTTACTCTGGAGGATCGTGTAGGCAAAGACCCACTAGTTCGAAGCTTATGCTGTGGGCTGTATATTTTGACTAACAGTTTGAGGATTCACATGCCTTTTTCTTTCCTTATTCCTGGGGACTTGCCTCTGTCGCCTTTAAGTCTGTGGTGCGCATTATTTAACTGTTTTTGGAGAAGAGCAACTAAGAAGGCTGGCATGTGCTGTGTCGTGTCTACACAAAGTTTGGAAGTTGCTGAAATGACTTGTAAAGTAAGAAAAGATCTACAGCTGAGTTTGTACTGTTTGGCCTCCAGTGGTTCCTCCATCCTTGATAACTTCACGGGGGGGGGGGGGGGGGGGGG